ACAAAGCCAGACACAGATACACAATACAGACACGCACACACAGACAGACACACACAGACACACACAGACACACAGACACACACAGACACACACACACACAGACACACAGACACACACACAGACACACAGACAGAGACACGCACACCAGACACGCACATGCACAGCTTCCTCTCTACAATGTGCAAGTCCGGTTTGTGCTGCTCATACCTGCAGCGTTCCCACGATCATGCAAGCGTGAATATATACACACAGATACACACACACAGATACACATACACACACACAGATACACACACACACAGATACACACAGATACACACACAGATACACACACACAGATACACACACACACACACAGATACACACACACACAGATACACACACAGATACACACACAGATACACACACAGATACACACACAGACACAGATACACACACAGATACACACACAGAGATACACACACACACAGATACACACACAGATACACACACAGATACACACACAGATACACACACATACACACACAGACACAGATACACACACATACACACACAGATACACACACACAGATACACACACAGATACACACACAGATACACACACAGATACACACACACAGATACACACACATATATATACACACAGAGATACACACACACAGATACACACACAGAGATACACAGAGTGAGTGGCTGAGTGAATGAGTGGGTGAGTGAGTGGCTGAGTGAGTGAGTGTCTGAGTGAGTGGCTGAGTGAGTGGCTGAGTGAGTGGCTGAGTGAGTGAGTGGGTGAGTGGCTGAGTGAGTGGCTGAGTGAGTGAGTGGTAGAGTGAGTGAGTGGGTGAGTGAGTGGCTGAGTAATTGTCTGAGTGGGTGAGTGAGTGGCTGCATGAGTGAGTGGGTAGGTGAGTGGCTGAGTGAGCGAGTGAGTGAGTGGCTGCATGAGTGAGTAGGTGAGTGAGTGGCTGGGTGAGTGAGTGGCTGCATGAGTGAGTGGCTGAGTGAGTGAGTGGGTGAGTGAGTGACTGCATGAGTGAGTGGGTGAGTGAGTGAGTGGCTGCATGAGTGAGTGGGTGAATGAGTGAGTGGCTGAGTGAGTGAGTGGCTGAGTGAGTGAGTGGCTGAGTGAGTGGGTGAGTGAGTGGCTGAGTGAGTGGCTGAGTGAGTGAGTGGCTGAGTGAGTGGGTGAGTGGCTGAGTGACTGAGTGAGTGTTTAGGTGATTGACAAATGTGTTGAGTGGTGTGTTAATAATATAATTAGTGGTGGCATTATCTAACCAGTGGGCGGGGCTAGTCTAACGGCTGGGCGGGGCTTGCATAATGAGGGGGGTGGCTTCTCGGTTGTGGTCACGTGGTTTCTGAGAATCGTTCCGTTGAAAAACTGACGCCCACTCAGAGAGGGTGGGAGAGGGGGTAGAGACACACACACAGTGACATACACACACACAGACACACAGACACACAGAGTGTCACACACAGTGACATACACACACACAGTGTGTCACACACAGTGACATACACACAGACACACACAGTGACACACACACAGAGAGACATACACACAGTGACATACACACAGACACACACACAGAGTGGCATACACACAGACACACACAGTGTGTCACACACAGTGTGTCACACACAGTGTGTCACACACAGTGTGTCACACACACAGACACACACATAGAGACACAGTGATACACACACACAGTGACATACACACACACAGACACACACAGACACAGTGACACACACACACCAGAGACATACACACAGAGTGACATACACACACAGTGTCACACACAGTGTCACACAGACAGACAGTGTGTCACACACACAGAGACACACACCCGACACACACACACAGACAGAGTGACACACACACAGAGACATTGTGACACACACACACACAGACAGTGACACACAGACACAGAGACACAAAGTGTCACACACACAGAGACACACAGACACACAGTGCCACACACAGTGTCACACACACACACAGACACACACAGAGACACAGACACACACACACAGATACACAGTGTCACACACAGTGTCACACACACACATACACACAGACACACACACAGTGTCACACACAGAGAGTCACACACACACAGACTCAGGGAGAGAGGGAGATAGGGAGGGAGGGAGAGAGGGAGCGATCCCCCACACCCCACACACACACCACACACTCTCTACGCACTACACACACACTACACACACTATACACACACTATAAACACACACGCGCTATAAACACACGCGCACTCTCACTCTGCCCAGCACTGCACGCACGGGCGAGCGAGGCGAGAGCTCCAGAGAATCTCCACTGCACTCAGAGGTACGATGCCGTACACACCACACATACACCTACACACACACACCCTACACACACCTACACACACCTACACACACACCTACACACACCTACACACACCACACATACACCTACACACACCTACACACACACCTACACACACACCTACACACCACCTACACCAACCTACCCACTACCCTACACTACACCTACACACACACTAACCACCCACCTACAACACACTACACACACACTACACACCACACTACACACACCTACACATCACACCTACACAACCCACCTACACACCTACACATCGACACCTACAACCACCTACACACAACCTACACACACACCCTACACACACCTAACACACACACGATCCACCACCACACCTACACACACACCTACACACACCACCTACACCACACACTACACACACACTAACACACACCTACACAACACACCATCCTCCACACCCACAACAACATCTACACACCTACACACACCCCAACCTACACACCTACACACACCCTACACACACACCTACCACACACACCTACACACACACACCTAACACACACACCTACACCACACACACCTACACACCACACACACACATACACACAACACCACACCTACACACACAAACCTACACACCTACCTACACACACCTACACACACACACCTACACACACACACCTAAACACACACACACCTACACACATACACACACACCTACACACACACACACCTACACACACACACCTACACACACACACACCTACACACACACACCTACACAAACACACCTACACACCCACCTACACAAACACACACACACACACCTACACACACACACCTACACACACACCTACACACACACACCACACACCTACACACACACCTACACACACGCACACCTACACATACCTACACACACACCTACACACACCTACATACACACACACACACCTACACACACACCTACACACATACACACACACCTACACACACCTGGTCTTCACCTGAGGACGGCTGCTTGCGTTGTGGCCGAAACGTCGTGAGAATTATTTTATTATGTTTTATTTTATTATTTTATTACTTCCCTTCTACGTGACTTTACCGACAGAACCAAGAAGATCATCAGCTTACTAATAGGGGTTTTTCCCCTTTTTTCTGGCAACAAAACTGACACCTTTTGCAAGGATTCATGCTTACATTAACCACAATGCTTGCAGTCAAATGCAAACAAAAAACTGATTGGTCCACACCAGAGACAGCTTTCTTTAGAGCTAGTCTCATATGGTGTTCGCCCAGATGACGCCAAAAGGCGCACAGTTCAAAGACAGCGCACTACCAGAGTAATGAGAGCTCGGGGTGAGCAGCTACATCATGGGACCTCCTTTGCCAGTACCAACATACACTAACAGGGGTTTTCCCCTTTTTCTGGCAACAAAAACTGACACCTTTTGCAAGGAATCATGTTTACATTAACCACTATACTTGCAGTCAATTGCAACAAAAAACAATACTCTGATAAAAAAAAAATTTTGTTTGCATTTGACTGCAAGTATAGTGGTCAATGTTAGCATGAATCCTTGCAATAAGTGTCAGTTTTGTTGCCAGAAAAAAGGGGAACCCCCTATTAGTGTCTGTTGGTACCGGCAGAGGAGGTCTCATGATAATCAGCATCTTCTTCTCCTCCTACAGATAGAAGGCAAAGTCGTGAGTACGTGCGTCTGGTCTCAATGTTTAGCGGACTTCCCGACATGCGACAAACTTGAAATTTGCCTCGTGGGTACTTTCCAGACTGTACACCGTGCAAACATGATGAAAACAAAAGATTTCTGTATTTTTTGGGGGGGGGGAGCTCAATAATGCATCGATTTTTTTGCACGGCAAGTGAGCCGTGACGTCACGTCTGTCACGTGACCCGCGCGTGTGGAAGCGTGACGCGTTGTAGTGTAGCAGGTAGTGTAGTAGTGTAGTGGTTGTAGTGTAGCAGGTAGTGTAGTAGTGTAGTGGTTGTAGTGTAGCAGGTAGTGTAGTAGTGTAGTGGTTGTAGTGTAGTGGGTAGTGTAGTAGTGTAGTGGTTGTAGTGTAGCAGGTAGTGTAGTAGTGTAGTGGTTGTAGTGTAGCAGGTAGTGTAGTAGTGTAGTGGTTGTAGTGTAGTGGGTAGTGTAGTAGTGTAGTGGTTGTAGTGTAGTGGGTAGTGTAGTAGTGTAGTGGTTGTAGTGTAGTGGGTAGTGTAGTAGTGTAGTGGTTGTAGTGTAGCATGTAATGTAGTTGTAGTGGTTGTAGTGTAGCAGGTAGTGTAGTAGTGTAGTGGTTGTAGTGTAGTGGGTAGTGTAGTAGTGTAGTGGTTGTAGTGTAGTGGGTAGTGTAGTAGTGTAGTGGTTGTAGTGTAGCAGGTAATGTAGTAGTGTAGTGGTTGTAGTGTAGCAGGTAGTGTAGTAGTGTAGTGGTTGTAGTGTAGCAGGTAGTGTAGTAGTGTAGTAGTGTAGTGTAGTGGGTAGTGTAGTAGTGTAGTGGTTGTAGTGTAGTGGGTAGTGTAGTAGTGTAGTGGTTGTAGTGTAGTGGGTAGTGTAGTAGTGTAGTGGTTGTAGTGTAGTGGGTAGTGTAGTAGTGTTAGTGGTTGTAGTGTAGCAGGTAGTGTAGTAGTGTAGTGGTTGTAGTGTAGCAGGTAGTGTAGTGGTTGTAGTGTAGTGGGTAGTGTAGTAGTGTAGTGGTTGTAGTGTAGTGGGTAGTGTAGTAGTGTAGTGGTTGTAGTGTAACAGGTAGTGTAGTAGTGTAGTGGTTGTAGTGTAACAGGTAGTGTAGTAGTGTAGTGGTTGTAGTGTAGTGGGTAGTGTAATAGTGTAGTGTAGCAGGTAGTGTAGTAGTGTAGTAGTGTAGTAGTGTAGTGTAATAGTGTAGTGTAGCAGGTAGTGTAGTGGTTGTAGTGTAGTGGGTAGTGTAGTGGGTAGTGTAGCAGGTAGTGTAGTGTTGTAGTGGTTAGCGGTCAGCGCTACGAAGCCGGCGACCCGAGTTCGATTCCCGCTCACGGCCACCACCGGTGACGATTACTTCAACCGCTCCTGGGCCTCCCTAGGTCGTACTATACCGCGTACCATGTACCGCGTACCGTGTACCGTACCGCGTACCGTACCGCGTACCGTGTACCGCGTACCATGTACCGCGTACCGTGTACCATACCGTGTACCGTACCGTGTACCGTACCACGTACCGTGCCGTGTACCGTACCGCGTACCATACCGTGTACCATACCGCGTACCATACCGCGTACCATACCGCGTACCGTACCGCGTACCATAACGCGTACCGTACCGCATACCATACCGTGTACCATACCGCGTACCATACCGTGTACCATACCGCGTACCATACCGCGTACCATACCGTGTACCATACCGTGTACCATACCGCGTACCATACCGCGTACCATACCGCGTACCGTACCGCGTACCATACCACGTACCGTGCCGTGTACAGAAGCAGTTCACTGTCGACCTCTCACCGACCGCGTCGCGAACCTCCCCCCCCCCCCCCCCCCAGGCGGACAGACGAAGGCCGCCACGTGACCATGAGGGCCTCCTCCACCTCCTCCACCTCCACCACCTCCACCACCTCGTCCACCACCTCGTCCACCTCGTCGTCGAGGCGGCGAGGCCGCAAGGGCCTCAAGGCGTGGCTGCTGGAGCAGGTGGACTGCGGCCGCTACCCCGGCCTGCGCTGGGAGGAGGGCGCCGGGCGGCAGCTGTTCCGCCTGCCGTGGAAGCACGCCTCCAAGCACGACTACACGCACGCAGACTCGGCGCTCTTCAGGGTGAGGGGGGCGGGGGGGCACGGTCAGAGTGGGGGGGGGCCCACGGTCACGGTCGGAGTGGGGGGGGGCCCACTGGCACGGTCGGAGTGGGGGGCCTGGGCTCTCTCATCATCATCATCATCACGGTGGCGAGGAGATGTTGACTTCCTCGCCTGGTCTACAGGAGGTCTATGTGGAGTCTGCATATCTCATCATCATCATCATCACGGTGGCGAGGAGATGTTGACTACCTCGCCTGGTCTACAGGAGGTCTATGTGGAGTCTGCATCTCTCATCATCATCATCATCACGGTGGCTAGGAGATGTTGACTACCTCGCCTGGTCTACAGGAGGTCTACGTGGAGTCTGCGTCTCTCTCATCATCATCACGGTGGCTAGGAGATGTTGACTACCTCGCCTGGTCTACAGGAGGTCTATGTGGAGTCTGTGTCTCTCTCTCATCATCATCATCAGGGTGGCTAGGAGATGTTGACTACCTCGCCTGGTCTACAGGAGGTCTATGTGGAGTCTGCATATCTCATCATCATCATCACGGTGGCGAGGAGATGTTGACTACCTCGCCTGGTCTACAGGAGGTCTATGTGGAGTCTGCATCTCTCATCATCATCATCATCATCACGGTGGCTAGGAGATGTTGACTACCTCGCCTGGTCTACAGGAGGTCTACGTGGAGTCTGCGTCTCTCTCATCATCATCACGGTGGCTAGGAGATGTTGACTACCTCGCCTGGTCTACAGGAGGTCTATGTGGAGTCTGTGTCTCTCTCTCATCATCATCATCAGGGTGGCTAGGAGATGTTGACTACCTCGCCTGGTCTACAGGAGGTCTACGTGGAGTCTGCATATCTCATCATCATCATCACGGTGGCTAGGAGATGTTGACTACCTCGCCTGGTCTACAGGAGGTCTACGTGGAGTCTGCGTCTCTCTCATCATCATCACGGTGGCTAGGAGATGTTGACTACCTCGCCTGGTCTACAGGAGGTCTATGTGGAGTCTGTGTCTCTCTCTCATCATCATCATCAGGGTGGCTAGGAGATGTTGACTACCTCGCCTGGTCTACAGGAGGTCTATGTGGAGTCTGCATATCTCATCATCATCATCACGGTGGCGAGGAGATGTTGACTACCTCGCCTGGTCTACAGGAGGTCTACGTGGAGTCTGCGTCTCTCTCATCATCATCACGGTGGCTAGGAGATGTTGACTACCTCGCCTGGTCTACAGGAGGTCTATGTGGAGTCTGCGTCTCTCATCATCATCATCATCACGGTGGCGAGGAGATGTTGACTACCTCGCCTGGTCTACAGGAGGTCTATGTGGAGTCTACATCTCTCTCTCATCATCATCGTCATCATCACGGTTTAGAATCAACTCCTTCACACGTTCACGGCGTTTGGCTGCTGCACGACGTTTGCACGAGACCATGACGATGATGACGATGATGACGATGATGACGATGATGACGATGATGACGATGATGACGATGATGACGATGATGAGCTGCTGTCGTGTGTGACGGGCAGGAGGCTTCTGACGAAGCCCTACAGAGCTCAGTGGGCCTCGCCTGTTACCTAGAACATAGTTGAGTTAATACTGAACTCATCATCCTCCTCCTCCTCTCCCTCCTCCACCTCCTCCACCTCCTCCACCTCCTCCTCCTCCACCCCCTCCTCCACCTCCTCCTCCTCCACCTCCTCCCCCCTCCTCCACCTCCTCCACCTCCTCATCCTCCTCCTCCTCCACCTCCTCCCCCTCCTCCCCCTCTCCCTCCCCCTCCTCCCCCACTAGGCGTGGGCCGAGCACAAGGGCCGTTTCCGTGCCGGGGTGGACAAGCCGGACCCGCCGGGGTGGAAGACGCGTCTCCGCTGCGCCATGAACAAGAGCCGCGACTTCGTGGAGGAGCCCAACCGGGGCCAGGCCGACATCAGCCACCCCTACAAGGTGTACCGCGTGCTCAGCCAGCGGTCCGCACCACCCCCCACGCGTGAGTCACTCACTCAGTCAGTCACTCAGTCAGTCAGTCAGTCACTCAGTCACTCACTCAGTCACTCCGTCACTCACTCACTCAGTCAGCCACCCCTACAAAGTGTACTGCGTGCTCAGCGAGCGCGCCGCACCACCCCCATGCGTGAGTCGGCCAGCCGCTCACTCCGTCGCTAGCACAGTCAGTCACTCAGTCAGTCAGTCACTCAGTCACTTGCTCAGTCACTCAGTCAGTCGCTCACTCAGTCACTTGCTCAGTCACTCAGTCAGTCGCTCACTCAGTCACTTGCTCAGTCGCTGAGTCAGTCACTCACTCACTCACTCAGTCAGTCAGTCGCTCGCTCAGTCGCTCAGTCAGCCAGTTGCTTACTCAGCCATCCGCCCACCCATCCACCCACCGACTCACCCACCCACTTTCACTCACTCATCCACTGGCCCATTCAACCACCCAGCCACCCATCTACCCACTCACCTATCCACCAACCCACCCACTCCTCTCACTCACCCACCAATCCACCCACCCACTCACCCATATACTCACCCACTCACTCACCTACCCACCTATCCACCCACTCATTCATCCAACCACCCAATCACCCACCTACTCACCCACTCACTCACCCACCCACTTTCACCCACCCACCCAATCACCCACCCACTCACTCACCCACCCACCCACTCACTCACTCACCCACCCACCCACTCACTCACTCACCCACTCTCCCACCCACCTACTCACCCACTCACTCACCCACCCACCCACTCACTCACCCACCCACTCACCCACCCACCCACTCTCACCCACCCACCCACTCACTCACTCACCCACTCACCCACTCACCCACCCACCCACTCACCCACCCACCCACCCACCCACTCACTCACTCACTCACACACCCACCCACTCACTCACTCACTCACACACCCACTCACTCACACACCCACCCACCCATCCACCCACCCACTCACTCACTCACACACCCACCCACTCACCCACTCACTCACTCACCCACTCACCCACCCACCCACTCACCCACCCACCCACTCACCCACCCACCCACCCACCCACCCACCCACTCACCCACCCACCCACTCACCCACCCACCCACCCACCCACCCACTCACCCACCCACCCACCCACTCACTCACTCACTCACACACCCACCCACCCACTCACCCACCCACCCACCCACCCACTCACCCACTCACCCACTCACTCACCCACTCACCCACCCACCCACCCACTCACTCACCCACTCACCCACCCACCCACCCACTCACTCACTCACTCACCCACTCACCCACTCACTCACTCACCCACCCACTCACTCACTCACCCACTCACTCACCAACTCACTCACCCACTCACCCACCCACCCACCCACTCACCCACCCACTCACTCACCCACTCACCCACCCACCCACCCACCCACTCACCCACCCACTCACTCACTCACTCACCCACTCACCCACTCACTCACTCACCCACCCACTCACTCACCCACTCACCCACCCACTCACCCACCCACCCACTCACCCACCCACCCACTCACTCACCCACTCACTCACCCACTCACTCACTCACTCACCCACCCACTCACCCACTCACTCACCCAATCACTCACCCACCCACCCACCCACTCACTCACCCACCCACTCACCCACCCACCCACCCACCCACTCACTCACTCACCCACCCACTCACTCACTCACTCACTCACCCTTCCACCCACTCACCCACCCACCCACTCACTCACTCACTCACCCACCCACTCACCCACCCACCCACCCACCCACCCACTCACCCACTCACCCACCCACCCACTCACCCACCCACCCACTCACTCACTCACCCACCCACCCACCCACTCACCCACCCACCCACTCACTCACCCACCCACTCACCCACCCACTCACCCACCCACCCACTCACCCACTCACCCACCCACCCACTCACCCACCCACCCACTCACTCACTCACCCACTCACTCACCCACCCACCCACTCACTCACTCACCCACCCACTCACCCACCCACCACCCACTCACCCACTCACCCACCCACCCACTCACCCACCCACCCACTCACTCACTCACTCACCCACTCACCCACTCACCCACTCACCCACTCACCCACCCACCCACTCACCCACCCACCCACTCACTCACTCACTCACTCACCCACCCACCCACTCACCCACCCACCCACCCACTCACCCACTCACCCACCCACCCACCGTCCACCTTTGTCTCTCTGCAGCTGCTGTGGTGAGCTCACCCTGCGGCTCCCTCGACTCACACGAGGAGGACAAGGACACCGACAATGGCCGCCCCCGCCCTGCACGTGTGAGTGACCTTGTTCAGGCTGAGCGGACCTAGAGGCGACCCGGTTTAACACAGCATGTGGGTCTCTGTGTGATGAGTCTATGGGTCTCTGTGTGGTGAGTATGTGGGTCTCTGTGTGGTGAGTCTATGGGTCTCTGTGTGGTGAGTCTGTGGGTCTCTGTGTGGTGAGTCTGTGGGTCTCTGTGTGGTGAGTCTGTGGGTCTCTGTGTGGTGAGTCTGTGGGTCTCTGTGTGGTGAGTCTGTGGGTCTCTGTGTGGTGAGTCTGTGGGTCTCTGTGTGGTGAGTCTATGGGTCTCTGTGTGGTGAGTCTATGGGTCTCTGTGTGGTGAGTCTGTGGGTCTCTGTGTGATGAGTCTGTGGGTTTCTGTGTTGTGAGTCTGTGGGTCTCTGTGTGGTGAGTCTATGGGTCTCTGTGTGGTGAGTCTGTGGGTCTCTGTGTGATGAGTCTGTGGGTTTCTGTGTTGTGAGTCTGTGGGTCTCTGTGTGGTGAGTCTATGGGTCTCTGTGTGGTGAGTCTGTGGGTCTCTGTGTGGTGAGTCTGTGGGTCTCTGTGTGGTGAGTCTGTGGGTCTCTGTGTGGTGAGTCTGTGGGTCTCTGTGTGGTGAGTCTGTGGGTCTCTGTGTGGTGAGTCTATGGGTCTCTGTGTTGTGAGTCTGTGGGTCTCTGTGTGGTGAGTCTGTGGGTCTCTGTGTGGTGAGTCTGTGGGTCTCTCTGTGATGAGTCTGTGGGTCTCTGTGTGGTGAGTCTGTGGGTCTCTGTGTGGTGAGTCTGTGGGTCTCTGTGTGGTGAGTCTGTGGGTCTCTGTGTGGTGAGTCTGTGGGTCTCTGTGTGGTGAGTCTGTGGGTCTCTCTGTGATGAATCTGTGGGTCTCTGTGTGGTGAGTCTGTGGGTCTCTCTGTGATGAATCTGTGGGTCTCTGTGTGGTGAGTCTGTGGGTCTCTGTGTGGTGAGTCTGTGGGTCTCTGTGTGGTGAGTCTGTGGGTCTCTCTGTGATGAATCTGTGGGTCTCTGTGTGGTGAGTCTGTGGGTCTCTCTGTGACTTCCTGGGATCAAGCTCTGGGTCTAAGTGTCTTTCTCTCTCAGGAGGTTCATATTGAAATGTTGATGTTGATGATGATGTTCATGATGATGATGTTGCTGATGATGATGTTGATGATGCAGATGCCTCTGTACGCGTTGATGGGACTGGAAGAGGCTTCCAATCGGAAGATAGAAGCGGATGCCATGGACACCAATGACGATGGTGAACACCAACATCATCAGCATCAGCATCATCAGCATCATCAGCAGCATCAGCATGATCAACAGCATCAGCAGCATCATCAGCAGCATCATCAGCAGCATCATCATCAGCAGCATCATCATCAGCAGCATCATCATCAGCATAATCAGCATCATCATCAGCAGCATCATCAGCATCATCAGGATCATCAGCAGCATCATCAGCAGCATCATCAGCATCATCATCAGCATCAGCAGGATCATCAGCATCATCAGCATCATCATCAGGATCATCAGCATCATCAGCAGCATCATCAGCAACATCATCAGCATCATCATCAGCATCATCATCAGGATCATCAGCAACATCATCAGCATCAGCATCATCAGGATCATCAGCATCATCAGCAGCATCATCAGCAGCATCATCAGCATCATCATCAGCAGCAGCGGCATCATCATCAGCATCATCAGCATCATCAGCAGCATCATCAGCATCAGCAGCAGCATCATCAGCATCATCATCAGCATCATCATCAGCAGCAGCATCATCAGCATCATTAGCATCATCATCAGCAGCATCATCATCAGCAGCATCATCAGCATCATCATCAGGATCATCAGCATCATCAGCATCATCATCAGCATCATCAGCATCATCAGCAGCAGCAGCAGCAGCAGCGGCATCATCATCATCAAGTACGCACAACAACAACATAATGGGATGCATCAGCACAAATTATGCTAACGGTAACCATTACGATAATTTATGTTAATTTATGTTCCTCCACCGTCAGTTGCCTCTCCACCAATGATCGGCGGATCAGCGGAGGACCCGGCCAACATCGACCAATTAGAGGAGGAGCTGGGCCCCAAAGGTGAGTGGAGGGCTCATGGGCAATATCTGTTGAAGGATGCCAACCTGGGTTGGAGCCCTGGGTCTGGGTGTCTCTCTCTCTCTCAGGGGGTTCACAGTGGCCGTGTCAGAGACACAGGGTCTGGGTTGGAGCCCTGGGTCTGGGTGTCTCTCTCTGTCTCTCAGGGGGTTCACGATGGCCGTGTCAGAGACACTGAGGGTCTGGGTTGGAGCCCTGGGTCTGGGTGTCTCTCTGTCTCTCAGGGGGTTCACGATGGCCGTGTCAGAGACACAGGGTCTGGGTTGGAGCCCTGGGTCTGGGTGTCTCTCTCTCTCTCAGGGGGTTCACGATGGCTGTGTCAGAGACACAGGGTCTGGGTTGGAGCCCTGGGTCTGGGTGTCTCTCTCTCTCTCAGGGGGTTCACGATGGCTGTGTCAGAGACACAGGGTCTGGGTTGGAGCCCTGGGTCTGGGTGTCTCTCTGTCTCTCAGGGGGTTCACAGTGGCCGTGTCAGAGACACTGAGGGTCTGGGTTGGAGCCCTGGGTCTGGGTGTCTCTCTCTCTCTCTCAGGGGGTTCACGATGGCCGTGTAGGAGACAATGAGTTCGATGGCTGTGTGTCCGACACGGCCATTGTGAACACCACCCACACCACCATTGTGAACACCACCCACACCACCATTGTGAACACCACCCACACCACCATTGTGAACACCACCCACACGGCCATTGTGACCCCCACCCACACGGCCATTGTGACCCCCCCCCCCAGCCTCTGCGTTCCGCGTCACTGTGAGCTACCGGGGCCGCCAGCTGCTGTGCTGCACGGTGACCAATAGCAGCGGCTGCCTCATCACCAGCCACTCAGCCTGCGGCCGCGAGCCGACCAATGGCAGCGCAGCGCTCGAGGTCACCCGCACGCACAGCTACGCGCGGCGGGTCGCGGGCCCGGCGACGCCCGGCAACAGGACGCCGCCCTCCCATTGGACGCCCGCGACGGCCGATGGCCCCGCTCCTGACTCTGCGGGCCCCGTCCAGGACGAGTCGTCGTCGTCGTCGTCTCCTTCGCCGCTGCCGCCGCTGTTGTTGCCGTCGTCGTCCGACGACTGCGCCGGTGGCGGCGCCGGTGGTGGTTGTGGCGGCGATTGCGGCGGCGGTGATTGTGGTGGTGGCATTGGCGGTGGTGGCGGCGGCGGTCCCACCACCGTGGCACTGCCGTCCGCGGCGGCGTTCCTGGACGCTCGGCACCGGCAAGCGGCGGCCGAGTTCCTGCCCACGGTGGCACGCGGAGTGGAGCTCTGCTTCCTCACTCGCCGGCAGTACAACAACAACAACCGCAACAACAGCAGCAACAACCGCAGCCGCAGCGGCACAAAACGACGCCACCACCTCCGCCACCTGCGCCACCTTCGTAGCGACGAGAGGAGACATGCGGTGGACGCTGCGGGCGGCGATGGCGGTGTCGGTGATGGGGGCGATGGGGGTGGTGATGGAGGCGGTGATGGGGTCGGTGTCGGGGGCGGTGGTGCGGGGCTGTACGTGCGCAGGCTGTGCCGGGCCCGGGTGTTCACCGACGCCGGGCCGGCACTAGCGGCGGGGCGCAAGCTCCAGCGGGGGCAGGTGACGCTGCTCTTCAGCCTGGAGGAGTTCGCTCGCGGTGAGACGCCGGCAGAGAGAGAGAGAGAGATTGCTCGGTGCACATCGCTACCGTCACCACCGTCACCACTACTACCACACCCCTAGCACCACTACTACTATACCACCACTACCACCACCACCACCATCACCACCGTCACCACTACTACCACCACTACCACTACTACCACCACTACCACCACCACCACCATCACCACCGTCACCACTACTACCACACCCCTAGCACCACTACCACTATCACCACTACCACCACCACCACTACCATCACCACCACTACCACTATACCACCACTACCACTATACCACCACTACCACTATACCACCACTACCACTATACCACCACTACCACTATACCACCACTACCACTATACCACCACTAACACCACTACCACCACTACCACTATACCACCACCATCACCACTGCCTACCACCACCACCATCACCACTACTACCACCACTACCACTAACACCACCACTACCACCACCATCACCACTACCACCACCACCACAACCATCACCACTACTACCACCACTACCACTATACCACCACTACCACTATACCACCACCACCATCACCACTACCACTATACCACCACTACCACTATACCACCACTACCACTATACCACCACCACCATCACCACTACCACTAACACCACTACCACTACCACCACTACCACCACTACCACTATACCACCACCACCATCACCACTGCCTACTACCACCACCATCATCACTACCACCACTACCACTATACCACCACCACCATCACCACCACCACTACCACAACTACCACCACTACCACTATACCACCACTGCCTACCACCACCACCACCATCACCACTACTACCATCACTACTATCACTTACACAACTGCCACCACTACATCCATGACCACTAGTACTAGTTATAGTGCTAGTTGTAGTATAGTTATAGTACTAGTTATATTACTACTTATAGTACTAGTTAAAGTACTAGTTATAGTGTTAGTTGTAGTACTAGTTATAGTACTAGTAATAGTGCTAGTTGTAGTATAGTTATAGTGCTAGTTATAGTACTACTTATAGTACTAGTTACGGTAGTAGTACTAGTTGTAGTACTAGTTATAGTGCTAGTTGTAGTATAGTTATAGTGCTAGTTATAGTACTACTTATAGTACTAGTTACGGTAGTAGTACTAGTTGTAGTACTAGTTATAGTGCTAGTTATAGTACTAGTTATAGTTGTAGTACTAGTTGGTCGTACTAAGGATGCCCACGTGTGCCCACATAGTAGTAATTATGGTAATTAGTATAGTTGTAGTACTAGTTGTAGTACTAGTTGCTAGTTGTAGTACTAGCTGTAGTACTAGTTGCTAATTGTAGTACTAGTTGTAGTACTAGTTGTAGTACTAGTTGTAGTACTAGTAATAGTGCTAGTTGTAGTACTAGTTGTAGTACTAGTTGTAGTACTAGTTGTAGTACTAGTAATAGTGCTAGTTGTAGTGCTAGTTGTAGTACTAGTTGTAGTACTAGTTGTAGTACTAGTTATAGTACTAGTTGTAGTACTAGTTGTAGTACTAGTTGTAGTACTAGTTGTAGTACTAGTTGTAGTGCTAGTTGTAGTACTAGTTGTAGTACTAGTTGTAGTACTAGTTGTAGTACTAGTTGTAGTACTAGTTGTAGTACTAGTTGTAGTACTAGTTGTAGTACTAGTTGTAGTACTAGTTGTAGTACTAGTTGTAGTACTAGTTGTAGTACTAGTTGTAGTACTAGTTGTAGTACTAGTTGTAGTACTAGTTGTAGTACTAGTTGTAGTGCTAGTTGTAGTACTAGTTGTAGTACTAGTTATAGTACTAGTTGTAGTACTAGTTGTAGTACTAGTTGTAGTACTAGTTGTAGTACTAGTTGTAGTACTAGTTGTAGTACTAGATGCTAGTTATAGTGCTAGTTGTAGTACTAGTTGTAGTACTAGTAATAGTGCTAGTTGTAGTACTAGTTGTAGTACTAGTAATAGTGCTAGTTGTAGTACTAGTTATAGTACTAGTAATAGTGCTAGTTGTAGTACTAGTTGTAGTACTAGTAATAGTGCTAGTTGTAGTACTAGTTGTAGTACTAGTTGTAGTGCTAGTTGTAGTACTAGTTGTAGTACTAGATGCTAGTTATAGTGCTAGTTGTAGTACTAGTTGTAGTACTAGTAATAGTGCTAGTTGTAGTACTAGTTGTAGTACTAGTAATAGTACTAGTTGTAGTGCTAGTTGTAGTACTAGTTGTAGTACTAGTAATAGTACTAGTTGTAGTACTAGTTGTAGTACTAGTTGTAGTACTAGTTGTAGTACTAGTAATAGTACTAGTTGTAGTGCTAGTTGTAGTACTAGTTGTAGTACTAGTTGTAGTACTAGTTGTAGTACTAGTTATAGTGCTAGTTGTAGTACTAGTTGTAGTACTAGTAATAGTGCTAGTTGTAGTACTAGTTGTAGTACTAGTAATAGTGCTAGTTGTAGTACTAGTTGTAGTACTAGTAATAGTGCTAGTTGTAGTACTAGTTGTAGTACTAGTTAGTAGTACTAGTTGTAGTACTAGTTAGTAGTACTAGTTAGTAGTACTAGTTGTAGTACTAGTTAGTAGTACTAGTTAGTAGTACTAGTTAGTAGTACTAGTTAATAGTAGCTAGTTGTAGTACTAGTTGTAGTACTAGTTAGTAGTACTAGTTGTAGTACTAGTTAGTAGTACTAGTTGTAGTACTAGTTAGTAGTACTAGTTGTAGTACTAGTTATAGTGCTAGTTGTAGTACTAGTTGTAGTACTAGTATGTAGTACTAGTTGTAGTACTAGTTGTAGTACTAGTTAATAGTAGCTAGTTGTAGTACTAGTTGTAGTACTAGTAATAGTGCTAGTTGTAGTACTAGTTGTAGTACTAGTAATAGTACTAGTTGTAGTACTAGTTGCTAGTTGTAGTACTAGTTGTAGTGCTAGTTGTAGTAGCTAGTTGTAGTACTAGTTGTAGTACTAGTTGTAGTACTAGTTGTAGTACTAGTTGTAGTACTAGTTGTAGTACTAGTTGTAGTACTAGTAATAGTGCTAGTTGTAGTGCTAGTTGTAGTACTAGTTGTAGTACTAGTTGTAGTACTAGTTGTAGTACTAGTAATAGTGCTAGTTGTAGTGCTAGTTGTAGTACTAGTGTAGTACTAGTTGTAGTACTAGTAATAGTGCTAGTTGTAGTGCTAGTTGTAGTACTAGTTGTAGTACTAGTTGTAGTACTAGTTGTAGTACTAGTTGTAGTACTAGTTGTAGTACTAGTAATAGTGCTAGTTGTAGTGCTAGTTGTAGTGCTAGTTGTAGTACTAGTTGTAGTACTAGTTGTAGTACTAGTTGTAGTACTAGTTGTAGTACTAGTAATAGTGCTAGTTGTAGTACTAGTTGTAGTACTAGTTGTAGTACTAGTTGTAGTACTAGTTGTAGTACTAGTATAGTGCTAGTTGTAGTACTAGTTGTAGTATAGTTTAGTACTAGTTGTAGTACTAGTTGTAGTACTAGTTATAGTGCTAGTTAGTGCTAGTTGTAGTACTAGTTGTAGTACTAGTTGTAGTACTAGTTGTAGTACTAGTTGTAGTGCTAGTTATAGTGCTAGTTGTAGTACTAGTTGTAGTACTAGTTGTAGTACTAGTTGTAGTACTAGTTGTAGTACTAGTTGCTAGTTGTAGTACTAGTTGTAGTACTAGTTGTAGTGCTAGTTGTAGTACTAGTTGCTAGTTGTAGTACTAGTTGCTAGTTGTAGTGCTAGTTGTAGTACTAGTTGTAGTACTAGTTGTAGTACTAGTTGCTAGTTGTAGTACTAGTTGTAGTACTAGTTGTAGTACTAGTTGTAGTGCTAGTTGTAGTACTAGTTGTAGTGCTAGTTATAGTGCTAGTTGTAGTACTAGTTGTAGTACTAGTTGTAGTACTAGTTGTAGTACTAGTTGTAGTACTAGTTGCTAGTTGTAGTACTAGTTGCTAGTTGTAGTACTAGTTGTAGTACTAGTTGTAGTACTAGTTGTAGTACTAGTTGTAGTACTAGTTGTAGTACTAGTTGCTAGTTGTAGTACTAGTTGTAGTGCTAGTTGTAGTACTAGTTGTAGTACTAGTTGTAGTACTAGTTGCTAGTTGTAGTACTAGTTGCTAGTTGTAGTACTAGTTGTAGTACTAGTTGTAGTACTAGTTGCTAGTTGTAGTACTAGTTGCTAGTTGTAGTACTAGTTGTAGTACTAGTTGTAGTGCTAGTAATAGTGCTAGTTGTAGTACTAGTTGTAGTACTAGTTGTAGTACTAGTTGTAGTACTAGTAATAGTGCTAGTTGTAGTACTAGTTGTAGTACTAGTTGTAGTACTAGTTGTAGTACTAGTTGTAGTACTAGTTGCTAGTTGTAGTACTAGTTGTAGTACTAGTTGTAGTACTAGTAATAGTGCTAGTTGTAGTGCTAGTTGTAGTACTAGTTGTAGTACTAGTTATAGTGCTAGTTGTAGTACTAGTTGTAGTACTAGTTGTAGTACTAGTAATAGTGCTAGTTGTAGTACTAGTTGTAGTACTAGTTGTAGTACTAGTTGTAGTGCTAGTTGTAGTACTAGTTATAGTACTAGTTGTAGTACTAGTTGTAGTACTAGTTGTAGTACTAGTTATAGTGCTAGTTGTAGTACTAGTTGTAGTACTAGTTGTAGTACTAGTTGTAGTGCTAGTTATAGTGCTAGTTGTAGTACTAGTTGTAGTACTAGTTGTAGTACTAGTTGCTAGTTGTAGTACTAGTTGTAGTACTAGTTGTAGTGCTAGTTGTAGTACTAGTTGTAGTACTAGTTGTAGTGCTAGTTGTAGTACTAGTTGCTAGTTGTAGTACTAGTTGCTAGTTGTAGTACTAGTTGTAGTACTAGTTGTAGTACTAGTTGTAGTACTAGTTGTAGTACTAGTTGTAGTACTAGTTGTAGTACTAGATACTAGTTGTAGTCGCACTAAGGATGCCCACGTGTGCCCACAGATGTGCGCCGCTACGTGGAGGGCAGCAGCTGCGTGGCGCCCCCCACGGCGGTGCTGCTCTGCTTCGGGGAGATGCCCGGTGACAGCGGAGCTCACAAACAGCTCATCACCGCACGGGTACGGAGACACACACACACAGAGACACACACACAGAGACAGAGACACACACAGAGACACACACACAGAGACACACACACAGAGACACACACAGAGAGAGAGACACACACAGAGAGACGGAGAGACACACACACTTACCTGCTCACCCACCCATTCACCCACTCACCATCTTACCCACCCACCCACTTACCCACCCACCCGTCCACTTCACCTGCCTCCATCTCCTCCCTCCCGTTCCACTGCAGATTGAGCCACTGCTGGCTGTGGAAAGTCTTCGCCGGGTCCGGGATGTCCTGGCCAAGCCTCCACCGCCGTCGTCATCGCCGCCACCGGCACCAGGTCGTCGCCAGGACGACGACCCCGGCAGCCTGGACACCATCATGAAGTTCCTCACCGACACCGACGATGGCGGTGGCGGCCCTCCCACGCACGCCCAGCCGCCCTTCTGCGCCGACGGCTTCTTCTACGACCCCATTGGCCCGGGGATAGCCGTGTGACCCACCACAATTCCCGCCACCTATTCCCCGCGATCCGATTGGTCCAGAGACAGCCGCGTGACCGGCCATCCCTCTCTTTTTTCTGACAATCCCATGGGCTCGCGGGTGGTCGTGCGGTCTCCGATGCATACCGACGATGCCTTGTCGAGCGATCCGATTGGTCGCTCTGGGACGGGGAGGGGGGGGCGCTGGTGTGGGGGTGGCCGGATGTGGCAGTGGAAAAAGACCACCCATACCACGCTGGCTTGATTCAGATGCTGCATTGGAAATGAAACGAATGCTGTGTGCCGCGTTCATTTGAGTGCATTGCAACAATGTGACTGGCCTTCCGTAAGAATGTCGCCATATAGAGTTCATATATAAACATTTACGGGCATTTCACGTAGCACTTTGGAGTTAGATGCATCTTAATTAAAATAAGGGTTTAAGTCGAGGCTGGAGGAGTTTCATTTGTGCTGTTGTTAGTCGTTTAATCTGCGCGCTCTCTGCGTTCCAATCACTGTTGAGAATGTCCCTTGTTTCTATTTGATCCGTTCCGCACAAATGGAGATGTTCATCCATCCACTCAGCGGCTCACCCATCGGGGAGTCCCGGTGCAGTCACGGCAATGCCACTGAACCTCGCGACAAAGGTCTTCAACAACCCGACAGGCAGACTCGGGGCGGAGGTTAGAGCATTGTGTGTGTCTGGGTGTGTCTGTGTATGTCTGTGTGTGTCTTTGTGTGTCTGTGTGTGTCTGTGTGTCTGGGTGTGTATGTCTGGGTGTGTCTGTGTGTGCCTGGGTGTGTCTGTGTGTGTATGAGTGTGTCTGTGTGTGTCTGTGTGTGTCTGGGTGTGTCTGTGTGTCTCTGGGTGTGGCTGGGTGTGTCTGTGTGTATCGACTCAGCCTCAAATGAGTACCTGGTGCGGTGTGTAAACATCGCCGCTAGGGAGACAAAGGCGGCCGGGCGTGGTGCTGGCCACCCACCCCCTCGTGTGCCGTGCCGGCCTTTATAGGTGCTCGCTAACAGCACTTGCCCCTACAGTCTGTTAAGGCTATACGGGGGATCTTTGATCTTTGTCTGTGTGTGTGTGTGTGTGTCTGTGTGTCTGGGTGTGTCTGTGTGTGTGTGTCTGGGTGTGTGTGTCTGTCTGGGTGTGTGTCTGTGTGTTTCGCCACAACTCTGGCTATCGCCTGATGATGCTGGTTGTTGTAATCGCCAGCAACACCTCCAACTCAAACGGTCGACGTGGTGGGTTTGTGCTCCGACACGCAAGCGGTGAACGCTGAAGTACTCACGAATTGCCACGTTCTGTTGACGTGACAAACCTCCGGCTGTGTCCGGTGGTGCCGGGTTTCACGACACGTTTATATTCACGCGATCTAACCCAGTGACAGCACCGACAACCTGGAGTGCGAATAAATAACATCCATAATATCGTTTGCTTTGGGTTAGATCGCGTAAATATACAAACGTTGTGTCGTTAGACCCGCCACCACCCACAACACAGCCAACTAGTGAGGGTTGCCAACGCGTTGCTAGTGTAGTGTTGTAAAGAACGGACTTCTAAACTTCTTTATGGCACACACTGTGTATTGTCTTACCGTCCCTATCACACTAAGGGGTATACGGTCCCCTCACCCGTTACCCTGAGAAGACACAGCCTCCGGACCCTGCAGGCTGTCTAATCTCCCTGCTCTCCCAGCGTCCTCTGGCTGGACCTAGGGGATCTCTCCCCGACCACTGGTGACTCTGAGCCCTAGCCCTGACGAGGGCTGGAGGGCTTGGTCCAGGCTCCTAGATGTCTTCGGCCGACTTGGGTCTTCGTGTAGCAGAACTGGCCAAGAGCTCTCAGCGCTCCGGCTTGTATACCTGTTCGTGGCCCGGTTGACCAATCCCCGGCCACCTTGTGGGACCCTCCGATTGGTCCTTCCCAATCTGGCGTTTGGATCCTACCTCACCCCATGTGACCCTGACCGTTTGATTGAGCGGGAACCCTTGTTTACGATCCGCTCTCTCACAGTTTGCGAACAGCGAGTAGTAATCACCACTACACTAGTGCAGCACAGCGCTGTGTTGGAGAGCACATCCACAACGCGTTACAATGTTGTCGATTTGCTCCACAATATGCCGGTGTTTACGTGACACACCCTGTCACCAATCGCCTGTGTCGGGTGGTGGCGGGTTTCACGACACAACGTGTGTGTATTGACGCGATCTGACCCAGCAAAGCCTCTATCGGGGATCACGTTGGTCGCGAAAGCCTCGTGCTCGCGGTGGGGCGCGTGCCACGCCCCTCCTGTGACGTCACATCGCGTGACGTCACAGCACGTGACACCACGGCATTGCGGTTCCCGCCCCTCCTTCACTAAGTGTCGAATACCTCCGGGAGGGTGGGCGCACCACGTGACCCCTCATGGCCTCTGCGTGGGATTTTTTTTACAAATATGTTTTCTTCCGTCCCTCGGGACGTTCTCAATGGGGGTGGGGTGGACCTGTTCTCATGCACGCAGATGCGTATTGTATGTGCACCTAGCCTGGCACAAGCGGCGTGGTGATGTCACGGCGCTTAGTGACAAACTGCGGTGGTTATGCATTAGATCGTACGATTGTTACGTTTTATCTTAGGCCAACTCTTAAGCGATACACGGCCATATTTGTGTGTCAAGACCCTCCACCACCTGACGATGAGTGAGTGGCTGAGTGGGTGGCTGAGTGAGTGAGTGAGTGGACGGGTAAGTGGGTGAGTGAGTGGCTGAGTGGGTGGCTGAGTGAGTGACTCAGTGGGTGGGTGGCTGAGTGAGTGGCTGAGTGAGTGGGTGGATGAGTGAGTGGGTGGATGAGTGAGTGGGTGGCTGAGTGAGTGACTCAGTGAGTGGGTGGCTGAGTGAGTGGCTGAGTGAGTGGATGAGTGAGTTGGTGGGTGAGTGGGCGAGTGGGTGGCTGAGTGAGTCGCTCAGTGGGTGAGTGGCTGAGTGAGTGACTGAGTGGGTGGCTGAGTGAGTGGCTGAGTGAGTGGCTGAGTGAGTGGCTGAGTGAGTGGCTCAGTGGGTAGATGAGTGGGTGGGTAGCTGAGTGAGTGGGTAGCTGAGTGGGTGGCTGAGTGAGTGGCTGAGTGAGTGGCTGAGTGAGTGGCTGAGTGAGTGGCTGAGTGAGTGGCTCAGTGGGTGGATGAGTGAGTGGGTGGGTGGGTGAGTGGGCGAGTGGGTGGCTGAGTGACTGGCTCAGTGGGTGCTGCTAAACCTCCCTCTCTCTCTTCCTCACCGGGTGAGCGAGCCACCAGCACCAATGCCACTTTTTGCCGCGATGTTCCAGCGTGGTGGATGGTTTCATTACTCTAACATTGGTTGGTAACAGCCACCTTGCTAGACGCGTTACGCCTGTGATGTGTAACAAGTGTATTACTACTACTACATGTTAAACTCCAGTGTAATAAAAATGTAGATTGTATTCATAACACATGTTTTATTTCACTTTTGTTGATGTTGGCGGTAGTGGTTGATGTTGGTAGTAGTGGTGATGATAATGATGGTGGTGGTGATGATGTTGGTGGTAGTGGTGATGATAATGATGATGATTGTGGTGGTGATGATGGTGGTAGTGGTAATGATGATAGTGGTGATGATGATGGTGGTAGTGTTGGTGATGGTGGTGGTGGTGATGATGATGATGGTGGTAGTGGTGGTGATGCTGGTGGTCGTGGCGATGATGGTGGTAGTGGTGGTGATGGTGGTGGTGATGGTGATGATGATGATGGTGATAGTGGTGGTGATGCTGGTGGTAGTGGTGATGATGGTGGTAGTGGTGGTGATGGTGGTGGTGATGCTGGTGGTGATGATGATGGTGGTGATGATGATGCTGGTGGTAGTGGTGATGATGATGATGGTGGTGATGGTGGTGATGGTGATGATGATGATGGTGGTAGTGGTGGTGATGCTGGTGGTAGTGGTGATGATGGTGGTGATGATGTTGGTGATGATGATGATGGTGGTGATGATGGTGGTGGTGATGGGTTCCCTGCAGCCTCTCACCTCTCCTCCCATCGCTACACCCCCACCCACAGTGGAACTGCCGTCAGCCAACACCCACACCCACGAATCCTGAACGAGAATCCCTTCCAAGTCACCAGCTGCGACAAACCCTCAACTCCGAGTGCCGAGAGGGCCACGCTTCCTTCGCGATGTCTACGGGAGGTCGTGGGCTCGACCCTGACCCTGACCCTGACCTGCGATGACCGCTGTTGGCTCCGTACGACGCGAAGGGAGTTCGACGCACCCACGGGTTCATCTCCACGTGTTTGGAGTCTGCGTCTCTCTCTCTCGACGGCGACGCCGATTGGTTCTCCTGCCCCTTCCTCGGCGTCTCCGCTCCAATGCTCATAATGGACGCGGCGCGTTGAGAATCTCACTGACCACGTGCACCTGGGCGCGCTCGGCCTCGTCGCTCTTGATAGCGCTGTCGATTTGTGACGCTACGTGGCTCGAGTGGGCTCGAGCTGGTGAAATATAAAACGTTCGATGTAAAGCTTTCGTGACTGCAGCAGGGATTCATCTTCTTGGTTCTTTCGGTAAAGTCACGTAGAAGGGAAATAATAAAATAAAATTCAACATAATAAAATATTTTAGTATGTTTTTTCCCCCCTTCTACGTGACTTTACCGAAAGAACCGAGAAGATATAAAATATAGTTGAGTTGGTGAGACTCAGTGATGGGGGCTCCTGCCCCGTAGTAAGAGGCCACACGGGGGACCTTTGGGAGAGCGTCGTCGCCTCAGGTGGCCGAGTCAGAGGCATGTGAGGGTCCCGCCGGGCACGGAGGCTGTGCCTGCTCAGGCTACCGGGGGAGGGAACCGCATCTCCCTGTCTGTGCGTGTGTGTGCGTGTGTGCGTGTGTGTGTGCGTGTGTGTGCGTGTGTGTGCGTGTGCGTGTGTGTGCGCGTGTCTGTGCGTGTGCGTGTCTGTGCGTGTGTGTGTGCGTGTGTGTGTGTGTCTGTGTGTGTGTGTGCGTGTGTGTGTGCGTGTCTGTGCGTGTGTGCGTGCGTGTGTGTGTGTGCGTGTGTGTGTGCGTGTGTGTGTGCGTCTGTGTGTGCGTGAGTGTGTGTGCGTGTGTGTGTGTGTCTGTGTGTGTGTGTGTGCGTGTCTGTGTGTGTGCGTGTCTGTGTGTGTGTGTGTGCGTGTCTGTGTGTGTGTGTGTGCGTGTGCGTGTGTGTGTGCGTGTGTGTGCGTGTCTGTGTGTGTGTGTGTGCGTGTCTGTGTGTGTGTGTGCGTGTGTGTGTGTGCGTGTCTGTGTGTGTGTGTGCGTGTGTGTGCGTGTCTGTGTGTGTGTGTGTGCGTGTCTGTGTGTGTGTGTGCGTGTGTGTGTGTGCGTGTCTGTGTGTGTGTGTGCGTGTGTGTGTGCGTGTCTGTGTGTGTGTGTGCGTGTGTGTGCGTGTGTGGAGGAGGAGGAGGGACTGTGTCGGAAGAAAGACAATAAACCCGCGTGAGCCTTGAAGGAGTTCACTCATCTGTGATGACAACACGACACGTGTGTAGCGAGACCACGTGGGTGTGGGTGTGACGTCACTGCTGGCACCACGAGGCTGGGCGTGCAGTGCCGACCCCTACAGGACAGGGCGGTGGGAGCGCCGCCAGTAGGAACGGGGTCACCGGGGGCCGTGGCGCTCTGGTTGACCCCTGAGGACACGTGACCGGTGAAGTCTACACACGGGGGGGGGGGGGCACGTGGGGGCTCGGGGTGGCCACGTGGTTCGGGTCGAGATACTGCTGGAGGATTCTGGAAGGTGGGCGTGGCCAAGGGCGTGAACTCACTACACATTCAATTTCGATATTATTTTATTATTTTATTATATTATATTATTATATCATATTATTTTATTATATTATATTACTTTATAATATAATTTTATTACATTATGTTATTTTATTATATTATAATATTATTTTGTTATGTTTTATTTTTATTACTTTATTATTTCCATTCTACGTGACTTTACCGAAAGAACCAAGAAGATGAACTCACTACACATTTGTACAACGCAGAATGAATGAATGGAAGCTGCCCAGGGTCGCATTTCCTGCCTCGGCTTCCTGCGTGTGATTATTGATACCCCGCGGTCGATAACAAAGATGAGGGCAAAGGTCCCCCGTGTAGCCCACGTGCGATTTTGGGGCAAGTGCTGTTCGACCAAAGGATCACCTTCCCAGGTGTTTAACCACGTGCAGAGTAACGCGTGTCTCCCATTGGGTGTGTAGACGTAGGTCTGTGGGTCTGTGGGTGAGTCTGTGGGTCTCTGTGTGAGTCTGTGGGTCTCTGTGTGAGTCTGTGGGTCTCTGTGTGAGTCTGTGGGTCTCTGTGTGAGACTATGGGTCTCTGTGTGAGTCTCTGGGTCTCTGTATGAGTCTGTGGGTCTCTGTGTGAGTCTGTGGGTCTGTGGGTGAGTCTGTGGGTCTCTGTGTGAGTCTGTGGGTCTCTGTGTGAGTCTGTGGGTCTCTGTGTGAGTCTGTGGGTCTGTGGGTGTGTCTGTGGGTCTCTGTGTGAGTCTGTGGGTCTCTGTGTGAGTCTGTGGGTCTCTGTGTGAGTCTGTGGGTCTCTGTGTGAGTCTGTGGGTCTGTGTTAGTCTGTGGGTCTCTGTGTAAGTCTGTGGGTCTCTGTGTGAGTCTGTGGGTCTGTGTTAGTCTGTGGGTCTCTGTGTGAGACTATGGGTCTCTGTGTGAGTCTCTTGGTCTCTGTATGAGTCTGTGGGTCTCTGTGTGAGTCTATTGGTTTTTGTGTGAGTCTGTGGGTCTCTGTGTGAGTCTGGGAGTCTCTGTGTGAGTCTGTGGGTATGTGTTAGTCTGTGGGTCTCTGTGCGAGTCCGTGGGTCTGTGTGTGAGTCTAAAGGGACTCTATGTGAGTCTGTGTATGTGTGTGTCTCTGTGTGATTCTATGGGTCTCTGTGTGAGTCTATGGGTCTCTGTGTGAATCTATGGGTCTCTGTGTGAGTCTATGGGTCTGTGTGTGAGTCTATGGGTCTGTGTGTGAGTCTATGGGTCTGTGTGTGAGTCTGTGTATGTGTGTGTGAGTCTATGGGTCTGTGTGTGAGTCTGTGGGTCTCTATGTGAGTCTGTGGGTCTCTGTGTGAGTCTGTGTATGTGTGTGTATGTTGAACTTCTTTCGCACCGTACGTAGCCAACCAGAGGAGTGGGGGAAGGTCAGCAAACTAATCACAGAAAGCAGTTCTCAAGAAACGAGTTTGCCAGTCCCCATGATGACGACGATGATGATGACGATGATGATGATGATGGTGATGATGATGATGACGATGATGATGACGATGATGATGATGGTGATGATGACGATGATGATGATGGTGATGATGACGATGATGATGACGATGATGATGACGATGGTGATGATGATGGTGATGACGATGATGACGATGATGACGATGATGACGACGATGGTGATGATGACGATGATGATGGTGATGATGATGGTGATGGCGATGATGACGATGATGACGATGATGACGACGATGGTGATGACGATGATGATGATGACGATGATGATGATGATGACGATGATGGTGATGATGGTGATGACGATGATGACGATGATGACGATGATGACGACGATGGTGATGATGACGATGATGATGGTGATGATGATGGTGATGACGATGATGACGATGATGACGATGATGATGACGATGATGATGACGATGATGATGATGACGATGATGATGATGATGATGACGATGATGACGATGACGACGACGACGATGAAGCGGTGACCACCTCCTCTTTGTTCGACGTCTCGGGCCGCTCCCTTTGTGGTGGATCTTAATCAAAGTCGCCCCGGGGTCACGACCGCCCAGGCACGCGAACTGTGGGTCGAGGTTTCCCTTCACGGCTCTTATCGGCAGTGCCAGACCCACCGATTGATACAGAAATCGATTTAACACGTAGCAGGTGGAGTGGAATAATACTAATAATGCTTTCGTGACTCAGTGTCCTGAACTTTGGGTAACCCCGAACTACAATAATAATCACCATTGGAACCTCATTTGCCAGTAAAAAATATGATAATTGTTTTTTTTACCCTTTTATCTGGCAACAAAACTGACACCTTTTTTTTTACAGGAGTCATGTTTGCATAGACCACAATACCTGCAGTCATAATGCAAACAAAACACACAACTCTGATAATGTATGCACTGTCCTTGAAGTTGATTGGTCCACACCCGAGACAGCTTTCCTTAGAGCCTAGTCTCACATGCGTTGGACCAGATGACGCCAAAAGGCGCACAACTCAAAGACAATGCACCATCAGAGTATGAGAACTCGGGGTAAGAATTTACACCATTGGTACCTCATTTGCCAGTAAAAAATATGATAATTGTTTTTTACCCTCCTATCTGGCAACAAAACTGACACTTTTTTTACGAGGAGTCATGTTTGCATAGACCACAATACCTGCAGTCATAATGCAAACAAAAACATAACTCTGATAAGGACAGTGCATATATTATCAGAGTTATGTTTTTTTAGATCACGGATTTTATGTACTGTGCTGAATCGGACCTGGATCTTATGTTTGTTAAGAATTTTGGAGATCTTTTTGGTCACGCCTGCTATGTATGGCAACGTGATGATTTTGATCAGAGTTTGAGGTGGTTGTTTCTGTATGGTGGGAGAAACAGCTTGGCGTATAGTACGGTCAGAGTATCCGTTCATCTTGAGGGCCAGATGTACATGTTTCAATCCACTGGTCAGGTGGTGTTGGTCAGAGATGCCATGAGCTCTGTGGTATAGCGTTTTGATGAGAGAATTATTTGAGCCGGGTGGTGGTGGGAATCCGATTTCAAGTAGGAATCTGTGTGGGTGGCTTTCCTGTAGACAGTATGTCCCAAGGATCCATCAGGTCTCCTCTCAAACATAACATCCAAGAATGGTAGTTTGCCATCTTTCTCCACTTCCATGGTGAATCTAATGAATGGGTGTCTGGAATTGATGTGGTCCAGGAAATGGTTCAATGCTGGGAGGCCATGTGCCCAAATGACGAAAGTGTCATCCACATACCTCTGTAATAAAGGATTCGTTCACTGTGTCTGTCTCCGTTGTCCTTTATTTGGGTTCTTTATAACTTGTCCCACACGGCCCTCGCTCAGAGCCTCCCCGCTTGGCAGCTCGACAGCTGCCTTCGCTCCCGTAGCCTTTCTCCGGTGCAGACCTCCGGCTGCTCTCACTGCAGCTCCACCGCTGCTCCCCGTTCCTCCGTGCTCGGTCACCGCTGGCCGACGGTGCCGAGTCTTACCGTGTGGCGATCTCGCCACTCTCCACTCTCCGCCCTGCATGGCCTCACCCACTCTCCGCCCTGCGTGGCCTCACCCTGTCTCTATCCCCAACTCTCTCCTCACCCCGCTGGCTGGCGCCGTCATGAGCCCCTCAGCCATCAGGCTGAGGCACGGCGACCACCCAACGTGGTCTCCACTCTTCACTCCCCCGACTCCCCCCGATGTCTTCCTGTCTCCCCGCTATAACTTCTCCCCCACGTGACCCTGACTCCTCCCTCTCGGATCGTCACATCCGACCTGCCCATTTACGCCCGCATTACACCTCTTACACAGGGAAGGACGCAGGGTGGATGTCTGGATGGCGTCTGATTCAAACTTTTCCATAAACATGTTGGCTATCACTGGTGACAAGGGGGAGCCCATAGGGGTACCCTCATTCTGTTTGTAGAAGGTGCCATTCCAGGTAAAATAGGTGTTGGTGAGGCAATGCCTAACCAGCGCAGGTACATCCGAGTTCAGTCCATGTTGGACCAAGTCTTCAATTATTGTTAGGGTGTCAGGTACTGGGACCTTGGTAAACAGAGATACCACATCAAAGCTGACGAGGATATCGTCAGGAGACAGTACCATGTCCTTGACCATGGAGACCAATTGGGTTGAGCTGAGTACTGCCGAAAAGGTCTTGCCAGTGAAGGGGAGCAGAGTATCTGATAGAAACCGGGCTAGTTTGTAGGTAGGAGAGTTGATCGTTGACACGATGGGTCGTAGCAGGGTGCCTTCTTTATGGATCTTGGGAAGACCATAGAGTCTGGGAGGTCTTGCAGCCGAGGGTTTTAGGGAGCGACGTTTTCTTGGTTCGATTAGGGAAGTCGAACTCGTGATGATCTTGTTGGATTTGTCGTTAGGCTGTTAGTGGGGTCACTTTTAATTTTGGAGTAACTCCCATCATTGAGTAGGTCCTGGATTTTGTTGTTGTATGAGTCTTTATCCATGATGACCGTAGCATTGCCCTTGTCGGCCGAGAGGATGACTATATCATCTATATTTTTTAAATTCGCGAGTTCAGAGCGTTCGTTTTTGCTAATGTTGCTCGTGGGTTTCTTAGCATTCTTGAGAATAGTGGCTATTTCAGCTCTTGCTACATCCGCATGGATGTGTCCTATGCCTCTGAGGGCTACATCAATCTGAGAAATCACATCATCTACTGGTATATGTTTAGGACTCGTACTGACGTGACAGCTTCTTTGTCTTTCTCGGTTCTTTATTATCGCGTACAGTTCACATCTCCTCCGTCGGCATCACTCCATGTCCCTCCGTTCTCTCCCACGCACAACTCCCCATCGACATCACTCCATGTCGCTCCGTTCTCTCCCGCGCACAACTCCCCATCAACATCACTCCATTTCGCTTTGTTCTCTCCCGCGCACAACTCCCCATCAACATCACTCCATGTCTCTCCGTTCTCTCCCACGCACAACTCCCCATCAACATCACTCCATGTCGCTCCGTTCTCTCCTGCGCACAACTCCACATCAACATCACTCCATGTCTCTCCGTTCTCTCCCACGCAAAACTCCCCATCAACATCACTCCATGTCGCTCCGTTCTCTCCCGCGCACAACTCCCCATCAACATCACTCCATGTCGCTCCGTTCTCTCCCGCGCACAACTCCCCATCAACATCACTCCATGTCTCTCCGTTCTCTCCCACGCACAACTCCCCATCAACATCACTCCATGTCGCTCCGTTCTCTCCCGCGCACAACTCCCCATCAACATCACTCCATGTCCCTCCGTTCTCTCCCGCGCACAACTCCCCATCAACATCACTCCATGTGCCTCCGTTCTCTCCCACGCACAACTCCCCATCAACATCACTCCATGTCGCTCCGTTCTCTCCCACGCACAACTCCCCATCAACATCACTCAATGTCCTTCCGTCCGCTCGCTCCGCTGGCTCCGCTCGCTCTCCCTCTGCTCCTCTCCTCCAGCGGACCTCCCTCTCTGCTCTCTCTCTCCAGCTCGGTCGCTCTTTGTTCGCTCTGCCATCTCACTCCGTCGCAGCTTCTCCACCAAGGTCCGTTACTCCGCTGCTACCCTATACTGTACTCGCTCCGTCCACTGCTACTCTATCTGTATTCTCTGTATCCACTGCTACCGTACACTATCTCTCTCTGTCCACTGCTACCATATACTATACTCTCTTGTCCACTGCTACCGTACACTATCTCTCTCTGTCCACTGCTACCGTATACTATACTCTCTGTCCACTGCTACCGTATACTTTACTCTCTTTGTCCACTGCTACCGTATACTATACTCTCTGTCCACTGCTACCGTATACTAGCTCTCTCTGTCCACTGCTACCGTATACTATACTCTCTTGTCCACTGCTCCGTCTCTTCCTCTGTCCGTCTCTTGTCCCAGGCTCCAACCAACCCCCGTTTCTCCCCACGCTCTTTGCCTTTATCCCCGAACCAATTTCCCTTCATCAATTAGACCATCCCCGGCTTCGCCCCCAGCCCCCAGCCTCACGTGGTGTTGTTATTGTAGACATCGAGGCGCCAATTCCCGACACGCATCCCTCTCGTCCAATCACCACTACGAGGTTTGGAGCTGTAGTGCGACTGATTGGAAGGCTAACAGAACTCTCATGTCCATCCCTCACACGGCCATCATGAGAGAGAGAGAGAGAGACACCCAGGCCCAGGGCTCGAACCCAGGCTCCCGGCGTCTGTGGGCCGTCTGCTAGAGTTCGCTGAGGTCATTGGGGAAGGTGAGGCCGCAGCCTCTCATCTTCTCCGCGTACAGCTCGTCAAACCTCTCGCTCTGCTCCACAGTAAAGTAGTTCTTCCAGTCTCCCACGGTGCCTGGTGGGGGGTGGGGGGGCACGGTGGGGGGTGGGGGAGGGTGGTGAGGGGGGGGTGCCTGGTGGGGGGTGGGGGGGCACGGTGGGGGGTGGGGGAGGGTGGTGAGGGGGGGGTGCCTGGTGGGGGGTGGGGGGGCACGGTGGGGGGTGGGGGAGGGTGGTGAGGGGGGGGTGCCTGGTGGGGGGTGGGGGGGCACGGTGGGGGGTGGGGGAGGGTGGTGAGGGGGGGGTGCCTGGTGGGGGGTGGGGGGGCACGGTGGGGGGTGGGGGAGGGTGGTGAGGGGGGGGTGCCTGGTGGGGGGTGGGGGGGCACGGTGGGGGGTGGGGGAGGGTGGTGAGGGGGGGGTGCCTGGTGGGGGGTGGGGGGGCACGGTGGGGGGTGGGGGAGGGTGGTGAGGGGGGGGTGCCTGGTGGGGGGTGGGGGGGCACGGTGGGGGGTGGGGGAGGGTGGTGAGGGGGGGGGTGCCTGGTGGGGGGTGGGGGGGCACGGTGGGGGGTGGGGGAGGGTGGTGAGGGGGGGTGCCTGGTGGGGGGTGGGGGGGCACGGTGGGGGGTGGGGGAGGGTGGTGAGGGGGGGTGCCTGGTGGGGGGTGGGGGGGCACGGTGGGGGGTGGGGGGGCACGGTGGGGGGTGGGGGGGCACGGTGGGGGGTGGGGGAGGGTGGTGAGGGGGGGGGCACGGTGGGGGGTGGGGGGGCACGGTGGGGGGTGGGGGGGCACGGTGGGGGGGGGGGGAGGGTGGTGAGGGGGGGGTGCATGGTGGGGTGAGGGTCACGACCCATCACCTCGTGACCTTCACTCTCCACACCTCCGATGAACGCTGCTGGCTACGTACGGTGGTGCGAAAGAGGATCAACACACACAACAACACACAGACACACACACAGACACACACACAGACACACACAGACACACACACATAAAACAACACATAGAGACACACAGACACACACACATACACAACAACAACACACAGACACACACAGACACACACACCACAACAACACACATAGACACACACAGACACACACACATACAACAACACATAGACACACACAGACACACACACATACACAACAACACACAACAACACATAGACACACACAGATACACACACATACACAACAACACACATAGACACACACACATACACAACAACACACATAGACACATACAGACACACACACATACACAACAACACACATAGACACACACAGACACACACACATACACAACAACACACATAGATACACACACATACAGACACACACAGACACACACAGACACAACAACACACACAGACACACACAGACACACACAGATACGCACACATACACAACAACACACATAGACACACACAGACACAACAACACACACAACAACACATAGACACACACAGATACACACACATACACAACAACACACATAGACACACACAGACACACACACAGACACAACAACACACATAGACACACACAGACACACACACATACACAACAACACACATAGACACACACAGACACACACACATACACAACAACACACACAGACACACACAGACACACACACATACACAACAACACACACAGACACACACAGATACAGACACACACACATACACAACAACACACATAGACACACACAGACACACACACATACACAACAACACACATAGACACACACAGACACACACACATACACAACAACACACACAGATACACACAGACACACACACATACACAACAACACACACAGATACACACAGACACACACACATACACAACAACACACACAGATACACACAGACACACACACATACACAGACACACACACAGACACACACAGATACACACACATACACAACAACACACACAGACACACACAGACACACACACATACACAACAACACACATAGACACACACAGACACACACACATACACAACAACACACACAGACACACACACATACACAACAACACACACAGGCACACACAGACACACACACATACACAACAACACACACAGATACACACAGACACACACACATACACAACAACACACACAGATACACACAGACACACACACATGCACAGACACACACACAGACACACACAGATACACACACATACACAACAACACATACAGACACACACAGATACAGACACACACACATACACAACAACACACACAGACACACACAGACACACACACATACACAACAACACACACAGACACACACAGACACACACACATACACACACAGACACACATAGACACACACACATACACACACACACATACACAACAACACACACAGACACACACAGACACACACAGACACACACACATACACAACAACACACACAGACACACACAGATACACACAGACACACACACATACACAACAACACACACAGATACACACAGACACACACACATACACAACAACACACACAGACACACACAGACACACACACATACACAACAACACACATAGACACACACAGATACACACACATACAGACACACACAGACACACACAGACACAACAACACACACAGACACACACAGACACACACAGATACACACACATACACAACAACACACATAGACACACACAGACACAACAACACACACAACAACACATAGACACACACAGATACACACACATACACAACAACACACATAGACACACACAGACACACACACAGACACAACAACACACATAGACACACACAGACACACACACATACACAACAACACACATAGACACACACAGACACACACACATACACAACAACACACACAGACACACACAGACACACACACATACACAACAACACACACAGACACACACAGATACAGACACACACATATACACAACAACACACATAGACACACACAGACACACACACATACACAACAACACACATAGACACACACAGACACACACACATACACAACAACACACACAGATACACACAGACACACACACATACACAACAACACACACAGATACACACAGACACACACACATACACAACAACACACACAGATACACACAGACACACACACATACACAGACACACACACAGACACACACAGATACACACACATACACAACAACACACACAGACACACACACATACACAACAACACACATAGACACACACAGACACACACACATACACAACAACACATACAGACACACACACATACACAACAACACACACAGGCACACACAGACACACACACATACACAACAACACACACAGATACACACAGACACACACACATACACAACAACACACACAGATACACACAGACACACACACATGCACAGACACACACACAGACACACACAGATACACACACATACACAACAACACACACAGACACACACAGATACAGACACACACACATACACAACAACAGACACAGACACACACAGACACACACACATACACAACAACACACACAGACACACACAGACACACACACATACACACACAGACACACATAGACACACACACATACACACACACACATACACAACAACACACACAGACACACACAGACACACACACATACACAACAACACACACAGACACACACAGATACACACAGACACACACACATACACAACAACACACACAGATACACACAGACACACACACATACACAACAACACACACAGACACACACAGACACACACACATACACAACAACACACACAGACACACACAGACACACACACATACACAACAACACACACAGACACACACAGATACACACACAGACACACACAGATACACACACAGACACACACAGATACACACACAGACACACACAGATACACACACAGACACACACAGACGCACACACATGGCGTTGCAGGTTACTTCTTTGATGGAGTTAAAGAGCGATTTGTGATCGCGGCCACTGAGGCAGACTCCATTTCATCAGCAACCCGCGACCACCTTGCAGCGCCTCACGGCTCTCCGAACCTCCGAGCGAAGGCTGCGGTAAACCTCCTCATTCTCTGACGTGGGATGTTGTAGTGGGCCGGTCGCTTTTTCACAGCCAGCCTGAACACCTCCTCTGTCAGCCAGGGTCTCTGGGGAGGTCTGGACCGCGTACCCAAAGCAGCCATTGCAGCTGCCTGAGTCACAGTCCTAAACCTCGCCCATTTATCCTCGATATCAGGAGGAGTTGGGGACGATGCCAACCCCAGCTGCAAGCGATGATGAAATTCTCGCTTGCAACTTTCATCAGCTAGCTGAGACCAGGCCACCGTGGGTTTGAATGGGGTCCTGGGTGTACACCCACCACCGGAGTGGAAGAATGGCAGGCGCATCTTACAGATGACTAGTCGATGGTCAGTGGACAGATCAGCTCCACGGTAGGTCCTGGTGTCAAGGACATGGGCCTGCATCAGGCGCTGGTCCGTCACTATGTAGTCCAGCAGATGTTCTTGCTTGGACTCGGCATGCATCCATGATGTTGTGTGGATGCGCCGATGCTGGAACAGCGTGTTGGTAATTACAAGCCCATGGGCTGCATAAAAATCTAGCAACTTCCGGCCATTGTTATTGAGCTGATCTGGCCCATGCCTTCCAATCACTCCAGACCAGGTGCCAGCATCATGACCAACTCGGGCATTGAAGTCACCGAACAAGATGACTCTATCCCGAGGGGCCACTTTAGCCAGCACCTGTGACAGGAGGTCATAGAAGGCATTTGACTCATTGGCCTTGCCTGCATCCCTCCACGGATGTTCGTCTTCGGTGGGGCATATGTAACCACAACCACCACTCCTCGCCTCTGGTGGATGGGAAGGCGAGCCCAAAGTAGCCTGGGGCTTACAGCTTTCCACACCTCACCGCCACGCTCCAACACTCCCTTCATTCGTTTGTTCAGAAGAAGAGCCACTCCCTGTTGTTTGGCAGTCTCCTGCCCCGAGTAGAGGACTGTCCACCCCTCATAGTGGCAGGAGCCAGAACCGGTCCACCGGACCTCCTGAATACCACAGAGATCCAGGCGGTACCGGTCCAGCTCCCGACAGAAGAGTTGCAGCCTCTCCTCCGCAGTGAACGTTCGAACATTCCACGTAGCCAACCATAGTGGTTTATTGTTGTTTCTGGAGGAGCCCTGATGGTAAGACAGACAACAACAACCGCCATTCGCCACTAAGTGACAGTGACGTTACCACGGCGCCTGTGCCAGGCTATGTGCACCTTGAGGCCATGTGAAGTGCCGAAGGCTCGCTGACAGGAGGACTCGGGCTCAGACGCAGGTGCCATGGGTTGGCTGAGTTGACTGGTGGATGCATCTCCAGCTGTACCCTCTACTGTGCCAACTTGCTGCATGTTAGCCGACTGGCGCTCCGCTCGTGGTTGTGAGCGTCGCTCCTCTGCCCTCTGTTCTTGCTGGAGGGTGAATGGTTCCAAATTCCCAGTAGCAGCGTTCTTCACGAGCCTCACAAAGAGACCCATAGACTACTCACACAGATATCCATAAACTCATACAGAGACCCGTAGACTCATACAGAGACCCATAGACTAGTGACACAGAGACCCGTAGACTACTCACGCAGAGATCCATGAACTACTCACGCAGAGCCCCATAGACTCACACAGAGATCCATAAACTCACACAGAGACCTGTAGACTACTCAGACTACGAGCTGCATCATCACCACCATCACCACCACCACCATCACCTTTCCTCATGAAGGGCCCCTTGCTCAAGTCCACCAACCCCGCGGGCATCGCCTCGTAGTTGGTCATCTTGTTGACCCTCATGGAGGCGAAGGAGCAGTGGTGGACGATGGAGTCAATCGTGGAGTCGTCCTGCGGCCGGTCGAGGAAGCGCGACACGCGCAGCACGCTGCCTCGCAGGTCCTGCAGCAGAGACCCGAGGGGTCAGGGGGTCAGGGGGTCGAGGGGGTCGAGGTGGACTGACGAGGGGTCAAGTGTTCCACGACTACATCGGCATTCATCTCCATGACCACTGATATCTCTACTGCGCCTCCCATTGTCACCACCACCTCTATCACCACCTCCATCATCATCATCACCACCTCCATCACCACCTCCATCACCACCTCCATCATCATCATCACCACATTGAACATCATCACCACCTCCACCACCACCACATCCATCATCATGACCAGTGTAATGCTGCTGATACTGATGAATGATGCTGCTTATGATGCTGCTACTAATAATGCTGCTGATGATGCTGCTGCTAATGCTGATGCCGCTGATGATGATGATGATGGTGCTGCTAATGATGATGCCGCCGCTGCTACTGTTGCTGATGATGGTGCCAATGATGCTGATGATAACTCTACTGCTGCTACTGATGATGATTATGCTGATGTTGATGCTGCTGCTACTGCTGATGATGCTGCTGATTACCTTGATCATCTCTTCGAAAGTCATGAAAAGAATGTTGGCCTTGTGTCTCATCTCGTACCATTCACGCACGTGCTTGAACCACGTCTCAGCGTTGACTTTCGCTGCCATAGCGGAAGGACAACAACAACGAGGCACACAATATAAAGATCTCCCAACATTCTAACATGCTGTAGGGGCAACATCATTGCCAACACTACCACTATGACCACCACCAATACCACCAAAATCATCATGACCATCACCAACACCACCACCACCACTACCACCATCATCATCACCACCACCACCATCATCACCACTATCACCTCCATTATCTGGTGCAGTGTGTAAACATGGCCAATAGAGAGACAAAGGCGGCCGGGCCTGATGCTGGCCACCCACCCCACAGTGACGGCCTTCATAGGCACTGCTACTCGCTAACAACACTCGCCACTACATCATGTAGGTAAGTGTGAGTTAGCGTGGTTGAGTGAGTGAGTGGAGTTTGTATGATCTCCCCCTGTCCTACAGAGTGAGTGTAGTTTGTATGATCTCCCCCTATCCTACAGAGTGAGTGGAGTTTGTATGATCTCCTCCTGTTCTACAGAGTGAGTGGAGTTTGTATGATCTCCCCCTGTCCTACAGAGTGAGTGGAGTTTGTATGATCTCCCCCTGTCCTACAGAGTGAGTGGAGTTTGTATGATCTCCTCCTGTTCTACAGAGTGAGTGGAGTTTGTATGATCTCCCCCTGTCCTACAGAGTAGAGTTTGTATGATCTCCCCCTGTCCTACAGAGTGGAGTTTGTATGATCTCCCCCTGTCCTACAGAGTGAGTAGAGTTTGTATGATCTCCCCCTGTCCTACAGAGTGGAGTTTGTATGATCTCTCCCTGTCCTACAGAGTGAGTGGAGTTTGTATGATCTCCCCCTGTCCTACAGAGTGAGTGTAGTTTGTATGATCTCCTCCTGTCCTACAGAGTGAGTGGAGTTTGTATGATCTCCCCCTGTCCTACAGAGTGAGTGGAGTTTGTATGATCTCCCCCTGTCCTACAGAGTGAGTGTAGTTTGTATGATCTCCTCCTGTCCTACAGAGTGAGTGGAGTTTGTATGATCTCCCCCTGTTCTACAGGGTGAGTGGAGTTTGTATGATCTCCCCCTGTCCTACAGAGTGAGTGGAGTTTGTATGATCTCCTCCTGTTCTACAGAGTGAGTGGAGTTTGTATGATCTCCCCCTGTTCTACAGGGTGAGTGGAGTTTGTATGATCTCCCCCTGTCCTACAGAGTAGAGTTTGTATGATCTCCCCCTGTCCTACAGAGTAGAGTTTGTATGATCTCCCCCTGTCCTACAGAGTGAGTAGAGTTTGTATGATCTCCCCCTGTCCTACAGAGTGGAGTTTGTATGATCTCTCCCTGTCCTACAGAGTGAGTGGAGTTTGTATGATCTCCCCCTGTCCTACAGAGTGAGTGTAGTTTGTATGATCTCCTCCTGTCCTACAGAGTGAGTGGAGTTTGTATGATCTCCCCCTGTCCTACAGAGTGAGTGGAGTTTGTATGATCTCCCCCTGTCCTACAGAGTGAGTGGAGTTTGTATGATCTCCTCCTGTCCTACAGAGTGAGTGGAGTTTGTATGATCTCCCCCTGTTCTACAGGGTGAGTGGAGTTTGTATGATCTCCCCCTGTCCTACAGAGTAAAGTTTGTATGATCTCCCCCTGTCCTACAGAGTGGAGTTTGTATGATCTCCCCCTGTCCTACAGAGTGAGTAGAGTTTGTATGATCTCCCCCTGTCCTACAGAGTGGAGTTTGTATGATCTCTCCCTGTCCTACAGAGTGAGTGGAGTTTGTATGATCTCCCCCTGTCCTACAGAGTGAGTGTAGTTTGTATGATCTCCTCCTGTCCTACAGAGTGAGTGGAGTTTGTATGATCTCCCCCTGTCCTACAGAGTGAGTGGAGTTTGTATGATCTCCTCCTGTCCTACAGAGTGAGTGGAGTTTGTATGATCTCCCCCTGTTCTACAGGGTGAGTGGAGTTTGTATGATCTCCCCCTGTCCTACAGAGTGAGTGAAGTTTGTGTGATCTCTCTCTCTCCCTGTTCCGTGTGGGGTTGTTGAGTGCTCACGATACTTGTGTAGAGTCAGTCCGCCCCCTGGCGGCCGTGAGGGCTAATGACGGGTGGGAGAAAGTCACAATCGACAGAACAGAGAATGGCGGCGAGTGACCACCAGGGGGGGCTAACTAGGCCAGGGGCAAGCAGAGAGGGGATCGATCCTGGCAGTTGGACAAGAGGGGCGGGGCCAGGGGCGGGGATATGAGGCCGAGTAGAACCGGGGTTCTGGGCGCCGTAGGAATAGGGGTCGCTGTCGACGCTGTGTAGACAGCAGCTCTAGAGAGACACGTGGTGGTGGCTGTGTAGACAGGTTCAGGGCCTGCCTTGGCTCCCCCCACCCTCAACCAGTACATATACAAAGACTGTGTTCTTGGAATGTCTCTCACTTGATACAGCTGTCGTGCTGTGGCAATACCACCTGAAGACGGAAGCTTGTGTTGCCTCCGAAACGTCGTGGTTTTAATTTTATTTTACTTTTATACAAATTTTACCTACGTGACTTTACCGAAACAAACCCTAAGAATATGAATCCTTGCAGTCACGAAAGCTTCAAATCTATAAAACTCTGTAGAGAGACACGTGGTGGTGGCTGCGTAGTCAGCCAGCTCTAGTGCTACCTCGGAGATCGAACTTAATTCGTTCTAGAAGCCATTCGAACACCGATTTGTTCGAACACCAAATCAATTAATGTCAATTACATTAATTGGTTCCAGACACAAGAAATCTCTCATTATAAAGCATTTTTACGCGAAGTTTACAGTAATTACATGCATAAACTCATACAAAAAAACAAGAAACACACTAAATAAATGGAATAAATGAATAAATACATGGAATAAATGAAATACACGAACATTGAACTTCACTTTACCTGTAGTAAGGAGAGTTGATGGCTTGAGTAGAGGGTGGTGAGGAGGAGGATGAGGTAAAACCTTCGTCTGGGCAGGCGTCCTGCACCGCTGGTGACGCTGGCCATGCGGCTCTCAGCCGTACAGCTTCTTTCAATTTCGATTTAAAGCTTTCGTGACTGCAGGGATTCATCTTCTTGGTTCTTTCGGTAAAGTCAGAGTCATTCAGACGCTGTCTTTCCGACAGACCTGTTCTTCACCTGAGGACGGCTGCTTGCGTTGTGGCCGAAACGTCGTGAGAATTATTTTATTATGTTTAATTTTTATTATTTTATTATTTCCCTTCTACGTGACTTTACCGAAAGAACCAAGAAGAGGTTCTTTCAAGTCGCGATTCGCCCGTTCGAACTCCGAATATCTTTTGTTTTCCGGGGCAAAAAATGATCTGAAATATCGTTCGAACACCGATTTGTTCTAGTTCTGGTGCGTTCGATCTCCGAGGTTCTACTGTATCTAGTTAGACATCGCCGTGGTCGATATATAGTGAACCAGCTATATCGTCGATGAGCGCTGAGTAACCTGTGACTGTCATTAGAGTTGTAGCTGTTTGCCGACGAGAAATAAATAAGAAGCCGTCTAAAGTTGGTGTCTCTGCAGTCATTACGTCACACTTGTGGTGGTCGTGGTGGTGATAATGATGCTGCTGCTGCCGACGATGATGATTGGAGACCAACCTTGATCTTCGAGGTATATCTCAATGTATGTTTTGAAATCGCCAGGGTCCGGAATGTGGCAGGAGATCTTGGAGAACTCGTACAAGGACACCAGTGTGTCCTTGGGATGCCTCGCCAAGTAAATGACCTGGCCGGTGCACACATCGGAGAATCGTGGTCACGATCGTCGTCGTCATCATCGTCATCAGCAGAATAATCATCAGCAGCAGCATACTCAACAGCAGAATCATCATCAGCCGAATCAGCACAATCATCATCAGCACAATCATCATCATCATCATCAGCCGAATCATCATCAGTAGAATCATCAGCAACAGCACAATCATCATCAGCAACAGCGGAATCAATGTTCTATCATTCTCATCAGGACAGGGCCACTGTGAGGCCCACTGTGAGAGAGTCAGAGAGACGGACAGAGAGAGATAGAGACAGAGAGACAGAGACAGAGAGACAGAGACAGAGAGACACACACAGAGAGACAGATAGAGAGAGACACAGAGAAACAGAGAGAGAGACAGAAAGACACACACAGAGTGACACCGAGAGGCAGAGAGAGACACAGAGACAGACAGAGACACAGAGAGACAGAGCGAGAGACAGAGAGACACACACAGAGACACAGACACACAGAGACACACAGAGACACACAGAGAGACAGAGAGAGACAGGGAAAGAGAGAGAGAGACAGAGAGAGACAGAGACACACACAGAGAGACAGAGACACACACAGAGAGACAGAGAGATAGAGACAGAGACACAGAGCGACAGACAGAGACGCGGCCACCACGAGCCCCGGCCTCACCTTGCCCTTGCCGCCCTCTGTGAGCTGCTGCGGCGCCAGGTGGATCTGCAGGTGCGTGGTCATGAGCCGGGGCGAGGGCTGCAGCTCGAGCTGATGTTGCCTGAAGGCGCCCTCCAGGTAGGGGGCCCTCTGCCAGGTGCACGACGTCGCCACCGCCTCCAAGTCCCCGTCGCTCAGGAGCAGGCTCGCAATCTCCTGCATCCACGTGGTGCCTGTGGGGGTCAGGGAGAGAGGTGGAGAGAGAGAGAGAGAGTTAGAGAGAGACAGGTAGAGTGGTCGAGAGAGAGGTGGAGAGAGAGAGAGAGGTAGAGAGACAATATTGGAGAGAAATGGTCTCTCCATTTAGTGTCCGGTAGGTCGTAAAGGTCCCGGGAATGCAGTGCCTTGACACAGCCACGTGTAGAGCGCCTTGACGCAGCACGTGTAGAGCGCCTTGACGCAGCACGTGTAGAGCGCTGGCTGTGTTCGGGGCACTCTTCAGGGGCACGTTCCTGCAGCCTCGGAGCTTCAGTGGCTTCTCGTTGTTGCTGTGGCCGGGGGGCTGCAGCAGCAGCAGCATCAGCAGCAGCACAACTCCGGGAAAGAAGAGAAGAGGGGGGGTGGAGGGCCGCCATCGATCCCCGGCGCCTCCAGCTTCAGGCGCAGCTCCTTCATGGCGTGGAGCGACGTCCCGCAGCAGCTTCTCCCCGGCGAGCGTGGAGCGGAGTCCCCTAGCTGTGCTGGCGATCTCAGCTGCGGTCTTCCACTTGGGCTGGTGGGCCTGCACGAGGTGGAAGACTGTCCGCAGCCCTGCCGATGTGAGGCGTAGAGGCAGGGTCCTCTCTCCTCTAATCCCCTGGAAGAGGCCGTTGGAGAACAAGGGCTCGTTGAGGTAATGTGCGAGCTCGTAGCGCTCACGCGTTCTGCTCCACTCGAAGCTCCGCCACGCGTCCAAAAGGCTCTGGTGATAAGCTGGCAGCCTCGTGTAGTCGACCAGGCTTAGGTCCAACAGGAAGAGCTCCTTGCCATACCTCAGGCACCCCCTGTGTTTCTCAGCAGGGTGAGGGCCGGCGACGTCCAGGGTAGCTCCTCCCGGTCACACAGTGGCCACCCCACGGCCATGAGCCTGAAGCTTATGACCCTCGTGGCGACGTCCACTGGACCTTAGCCACCGTCACCCACCGGCAGGCAGAGAACCTCCGGCCTGAGCCGGTGCTTCCCATGCCAGACAAAGTGTGCGAGTGAGCGGTTCACTCGGGTGAGTAGCCAGGCAGCAAGTTGGAGGGCCTTGGTCCTGTGCCACAGCAAGAATGCCGTCAGGTTTTTCGTGACGAGCCCCTACAGGATATCTGCGCAGCGAGGCGTGCCCATGCCAGTAATTCAGCTTCAATTATGTCGGCCAGCCTGGTCCAGTTGTTCAGAGCGACGTGTGGTTTCTACAGGTAGACCCCGAGGCATTTGACTCGGTCGGCCTGCCAGCTGACTCCTCCTGGGTGGAGAACAGACCCTGGCGGAGGAGGCCTTCTCAAACACTGCAACCACCTGGCAGAGCGCGGAGACGTCATGCACGCCGTTGAGCACGACGCATGTGTCGTCTGCATGGGCCGAGAGCCTGACGACCGGGAACAGGGTGGCTGCCCTCTGGTGACTGAGGTTCTGTGGCTCTCCCTTCGGGTGAGGTGAGCCGGCCTTCGTCGCTCTCCTGCTGCGTGGCGCCGGTGGTTCCTCTTGCCCTGAGGCCGCTGCGGCGGCGTGTGGCGGTGGCGGTGGGGGTGGTGGCGGCGCTTTACCCACCGCACCGCCATCACGCGGGCCGCCATCCACCACGTGTTCGGTTTCTCCTCCCCCTGCGCCGTCGAGGTCAGCGCCCGCCAGGGGGCATTGCTCGCTTTGTGAGGGTGGGCCTCGTGCTCGGCGGTTAGGGGCAGCGCGGCCTCCTCCTCCTCCGCCCGGCTTCACCCTGCGCTTGTGTGAGGAGACGAGGGCGAAGCCATCGTCATCCTCGTCGTCGCTGGGCGGTTTTGTGCGATCGGCCGCCGAGTCAGCGGCCTCCTGCGATAAGAGCTGGCGCTGGTGCTGTGGTGGCGGCTGCTGCTGCTGCTTTTGTTGCTACTGCTGCTGCTGCTGGCACTGCTGCTGCTGCAGCTGCTGCTTCTGCCGCTGCTGCCGAGGCAGTTGTGGTGGCTGCTGCTGTTGTTGCTGATGATGCTTCTGCAGTGTGACGTGTGGTACAGGCTGCGCGATTTTACTTTTGGTTTGCCTGTGCAGTTTGCTGTCTGTCGTGTACTTAAAGTTCACGTTCAGTTCCGTGTTGTTTGCGTTCAGAATCATAAATGTTTGTCGCTTAAACGTCAAGACGTGCGCCATTTCTGGGTCCCGTGTGTGCAAGGGCAGCGTAATGATGCGGGACACAACTTTGCCGAACGGCTCAAGGTCTCGTTGTCGGTCGCCACTTTTGAGGAAGGTGGGGAGTTGGAAATGACTACTTTTTGCGCGGGGGGACGAGAGAGGTGTGCATTGCACAAATATCTCCCCCTTGAGGGTGAGCCCCGTGGCGATGATGCACGCCACCATCTCCTCGTTGCTGAGGAGGAGTGTATAGCCGCGGTTCGTGCAAGTCGCGGCGATGACGTTGGTTTCCCCCACACCCTGTCCAGCGGAGGTGATCACGTCGTCCGTAGGGACCTCTGGTGGTAGGAAGCAGATCATTCCATTTTACACGCGTTTATTTAACTCACTCCGTCTGTTGCATATCCTCAAATCTTGTAACTCAATTTTGACCAACTTCCCAATGTGCTATCGACTGCCAACTTGGTATAGCTGTGTCATACTGATGACAATACTATTTTCTATCATTAAAATTTTAAAATATTTATTTTTAAACGATCTTTTATACGGCTATAATTGTCCACGCTCAACTCACGTTGCCTGTAAATCACCACGTGGTCCCTGACGTCACGGCAAGCTGCGGGGAGCCACGCCCAGAGGCGGGGGACGTGGAAGGAGGGGAGGGGCCATGGGGGAAGGGGGCAGGGGGAGGGGCAGCTCGGACAGTACATTTCATTAAAGCGTGTTTTTTTTTAAAGTATTTTTTAATATTTTATTTTGAAGAGCCTCCATCGTAGCGTGGGGTGCCATGTTAAACAAAAACATTATTTACATAAATATATAAATTACCTAAATATATGAATATATACTTTCAGCTGCACGGATGAAAGAATAAAAGAGCAGAAGAGGCGGGTGGAAAAGAAAGTGGATGAGAGGGAGACACGGGGGTGGCGTCAGGAGAGAGGGGGGGGGAGCTGTGATCACGAGAAACATGCGGCGTGGTGAGTGCCGTAGGGGTAGTAAACCCGCAGGAATGAAATGAAAGGATGATGAGAAAGAGCAGAGAGGAGAGTGGCGAGAGGAAAGAGCGATTTATATATTTTTAATAAAGCCCAAAATAGGAAGTCTGTGACAGAGGGGAGAAAGGGTACGGCCGGGTACGGGTACCCGTTTGCGACCCTGGTGCGGCCGGGTACGGGTAAGGAATCAAAACCCGTTTGCGACCTCTGGCCCATGAGCAAGCCAGCAGGCCTGCCGAGTAGCGACTGTGTTTAGACTCAACAGGGGTACAGAGACGTTAGACGGCACGACCCTGCGTGGTCAGTGACACTCACAGAGCGGGAGGAGACGTCAGGGGCACTCGATGGGAACCGGAGAGCCAAAGAGGGCACCGGGAAGCACAACAACTCTCTCAGGCGAGGCGAGGATGCTGATGAACGACGAGGCCCTCACTAGCAGGTAAAGGTGTACACGGAGTGCCATAGTGACACACCCTGTTGTGATGATGGAGAGAGAGGGAGGGGTAGAGAGAGACTTTTAAGCTACTTCATTGCTGCCAGCAGCAACAGCACTGGAGCCGATTTCGATATGAAACACAAAGTCGCCAGTAACAACCAAACACAATAAAAGGAGAAGCCACGTGCTACAGCACGTCACGTGGTGGTGTTCGTCACGCACGCCACGCCCACGAGCGAGCGCGTGAGGAGGAGGGTGCCCTTCACGCCGGTACTGAGAGGAGATTTTCCGGCCACCCAGCGTTGGAAGAAGACGCGGCGCGTCACCGGCGTGTGAGTGGCTACGCGGCGTGCTCCAGCCGGAGCCGTGCCTTGAGCAGGCCCCTGAACACTGGCACCACGTGGCAGCATCCACGTGGTGCCTTGGGGCAGCGGTGTGACGGCCACGGGGTCAAGCCGAAAGACAGGGGAGCAAGACGAGAGAGAGAGAGAGCAGATCGGTAGAGAGTTAGAGAGAGAGACACCCAGACCCAGGGCTCGAACCCAGGCTCTCAGTGTCTCCTACACGGCCATCGTGAACCCCCTGAGAGAGAGACACCCAGACCCAGGGCTCGAACCCAGGCTCTCAGTGTCTCCTACACGGCCATCGTGAACCCCCTGAGAGAGAGAGAGAGACACCCAGACCCAGGGCTCGGGGCGTCGAGGAAGCCTCTCACCGGACTTGGCGTAGGTGGCGATGAAGACGTCGTCATCCCGCACGGGCAGCGAGCGAACCCGCCGCACGGACTCCGGGGTGCAGAGCGGAGAGAGGAACTGCATGCCCCCCACCTCGAACATCCCCGAGTCCGGAAGGTCGGTCGACATGGCCCCCCTTGAACTCCAAAGGGATCATTGTGTACACACACGCACGAACACACACACACACACGCACGAACACACACACGCACGAACACACACACACACACGAACACACACACACGCACGAACACACACACACGCACGAACACACACACACGCACGAACACACACACACACGAACACACACACACGCACGAACACACACACACGCACGAACACACACACACACACACGCACGAACATACACACACACGAACACACACACACACGAACACACACACACGCACGAACACACACACACACGAACACACACACCACGCACGAACACACACACACGCACGAACACACACACACACACGCACGAACACACACACACGCACGAACACACACACACACGAACACACACACACGCACGAACACACACACACGCACGAACACACACACACACGCGCACGAACACACACACACGCACACGCACGTACAACAACAACAACCGCCATTCGCCACTAAGTGGCGGTGACGTCACCACGACGCTTGTGCCAGGCCATGTGCACCTTGAGGCCACGTGAAGTGTCGAACGCCCGCTGGCAGGAGGTCACGGGGCAGACCCAGCAGGTGCCACGGGTCGACTGACCGAGATGACCGAGATGACTGGCTGATGCACCACCTGTGCCCCCTACTGTACCAACTTGCTGTGCTTTAGCCACCCGGCGCTCCGCTCGTTGTTGTGAGCGTCGCTCCTCCACCCTCCGTTGTTGCTGGAGGGCGACTGCCTCCAACTGCTCAGTAGCGTCCTTCACGAGCCTCCTCCACAGAGGCCGATCTTGACACCGCTGGTACCGGTCATCGGCAAGTCCACTCAGCTCCACGTCCTCCTGTACCACATCACTCCATCTCTTCTCTAGCCCGTGCCGCGCCCGTTTAGCCCCCTCGATCCGGCTGAACAAAAGCTGTTTAGGCATGCGGTGGCTGGGCATGCGGGCTACATAACCCAGCCAACGCACTCTTGCCTGCCGGAGGAGCTCACCGATGGGACTTTGTCCAGATCTTTCAAGGATTTGTGAGCTCCTCACACAATCCAGCCTGTAGGTTAAACCCAGGATGGATCGTAGGCAGGCCAGCCTAAATGTTTCTAACCGGCGCACGTACACACACACACAAACATGCAGCAGAGACCCATAGACTCATCACACCACCGAGATCCATAGACTTATCACAAAGAGACCTATAGTCTTGTGCTATCTGTGTAAGTCTACGGTATCTGCATGGGTCTATGAATGTCCATGGATTTCACAATCCCGTGTGCTCACCTCTCTTCCTCTCTCTCTCTCTGGGTGACTTCAACACTGGGACCAGAGTCTAACCTCGACTCTCCTCGGGCTAAGGACGCTGCTGTGCGTTGTGTGTCCCTGTCATATATAAGAAGTCCGTGGCAGTGGGCTCCGCCCTGCGGCACTCAAATCAAGTGGATCGGGGGTCGCCACGCGGTCTGCCTCAGGTGCACTGGGGACATGACCAAGACCTTCGAACCCAGAGATCAATGCCACTGTGTTCAGTTCTTTCAACAAACCTTGGAACTTGTATCTTTGTGCAACTCAATCACCCACTCACCAACTTACTCATCAACTCGCTCACTCACCCAGCCACTCACAATCTCACTCACTAACACTCACCCAGCCACTCGCTATTTCAATCACTAGCCCACTCACTCATCCAGCCACTCACTATCTCACTCACTAGCCCACTCACTCACCCAGCCACTCACAATCTCACTCACTAATCCAACCACTCACACTCACTCACTCATTTACCCATCCACCATCCCATTCACTTACCCGTCCCCTCACTCACTCACTCACCGTCTTACTCACTCACCCACCAACTCCTTTCCTCGCTCACCCACCCAGCCACTCATTCACCTGCTCGCCATCTCACTCCAATACCAATGCTCGCCATTCACCACTAAGTAACGGTGACGTCACCACGGCGCTTGTGCCAGGCTATGTGCACCTTGAGGCCACGTGAAGTGCCGAAGGCTCGCTGACAAGGAAGACTCGGGCTCAGACGCAGGTGCCACGGGTTGGCTGACTGAGATGACTGGTGGATGCACCTCCAGCTGTACCCTCCACTGTGCCAACTTGCTGCATTTTTCCGACTGGCGCTCCGCTCGTGGTTGTGAGCGTCGCTCCTCTGCCCTGCGTTGTTGCTCGAGGGGCGACTGCCGCCAACTGCCCAGTAGCAGCGTCCTCACGAGCCTCCTCCATCTCACCCACTCACCCACTCACTCACTCACCCACCCACTCACCAACCCACTCATTCACTCACCACCCACTCATTTATCCACCCACCTACTCAGAAACCCACTCATTCACCTACTCACCATCTCTCTCACCCACCCACTCACCCACTCACTCACCCACCCACGCACTCACGCACCCATCCACCCACTCACCATCTCACTCACCATCTTGTTCACTCACCCACTCACCCACTCACACACCCACCCACTCACTCACCATCTGATTCAATCACCATTCCCTCCCCATCTCGCGTTGCCCATCATCAAGGTCGCTCGCCACTGGACCGACCTCTTCCCCCCTCCCCCTCACCCCGAGCCTCTCCCCGATAACAAAAAGTCAAAGTTGCGCTTTTATCAGACCATGGCCCCCTCTGGCGCGGGCTGGGGGGGGGGGGTCTCGTAAACCCGACGTCTCCTCGGATGACCCCACAACTCAAAGTCAAAGTCACGGTCTCCTCTGGACCCGTTTCGACTTATGGTGTCTCATTGGCAGCAGCAGAAGCAGCCAGGCGTAGCTTGTGAATGACAACGGTTCAATGCAAGCCAAACTCTTGGCCCGTTTCGAGATTCATTGACTCATCAGCAGCAGCCAGGCTTTGCTTAAACGTTTGACGTGCTGCGGCGTAGAGATGTCTTCTCCCTCGCCTGCTACACAGGAGGTCGTGGGTCCAATCCCAATCCTGACCCCGGCTGCATATTTGTCGGACACAATGAGAGTCTGGGTTGGAGCCCTGGGTCTGGGTGTCTCTCTCTCCCAGTGGGGTTCACTAAGCCAGAGACACTGAGAGTCTGGGTTCAATCCCTGGGTCTGGGTGTCTCTCTCTCAGTGGGGTTCAATAAGCCAGAGACACTGAGGGTCTGGGTTCAATCCCTGGGTCTGGATGTCTCTCTCTCAGTGGGGTTCAATAAGCCAGAGACACTGAGGGTCTGGGTTCAATCCCTGGGTCTGGGTGTCTCTCTCTCAGTGGGGTTCACTAAGCCAGAGACACTGAGAGTCTGGGTTCAATCCCTGGGTCTGGGTGTCTCTCTCTCAGTGGGGTTCACTAAGCCAGAGACACTGAGAGTCTGGGTTCAATCCCTGGGTCTGGGTGTCTCTCTCCCAGTGGGGTTCACTGAGACAGAGATACTGAGGGTCTGGGTTGGAGCCCTGGGTCTGGGTGTCTCTCCCTCAGGGGGTTCACAATGGCCGTGTCAGAGACACTGAGAGTCTGGGTTGGAGCCCTGGGTCTGGGTGTCTCTCCCTCAGGGGGTTCACAATGGCCGTGTCAGAGACACTGAGAGTCTGGGTTGGAGCCCTGGGTCTGGGTGTGTCTCTCCCTCAGGGGGTTCACAATGGCCGTGTCAGAGACACTGAGAGTCTGGGTTGGAGCCCTGGGTCTGGGTGTCTCTCCCTCAGGGGGTTCACAATGGCCGTGTCAGAGACACTGAGAGTCTGGGTTCAATCCCTGGGTCTGGGTGTCTCTCCCTCAGGGGGTTCACAATGGCCGTGTCAGAGACACTGAGAGTCTGGGTTGGAGCCCTGGGTCTGGGTGTCTCTCCCTCAGGGGGTTCACAATGGACGTGTCAGAGACACTGAGAGTCTGGGTTGGAGCCCTGGGTCTGGGTGTCTCTCCCTCAGGGGTTTCACAATGGCCGTGTCAGAGACACTGAGAGTCTGGGTTGGAGCCCTGGGTCTGGGTGTCTCTCCCTCAGGGGGTTCACAATGGCCGTGTCAGAGACACTGAGAGTCTGGGTTGGAGCCCTGGGTCTGGGTGTCTCTCCCTCAGGGGGTTCACAATGGCCGTGTCAGAGACACTGAGAGTCTGGGTTGGAGCCCTGGGTCTGGGTGTCTCTCCCTCAGGGGGTTCACAATGGCCGTGTCAGAGACACTGAGAGTCTGGGTTCAATCCCTGGGTCTGGGTGTCTCTCCCTCAGGGGGTTCACAATGGCCGTGTCAGAGACACTGAGAGTCTGGGTTGGAGCCCTGGGTCTGGGTGTCTCTCCCTCAGGGGGTTCACAATGGCCGTGTCAGAGACACTGAGAGTCTGGGTTGGAGCCCTGGGTCTGGGTGTCTCTCCCTCAGGGGGTTCACAATGGCCGTGTCAGAGACACTGAGAGTCTGGGTTGGAGCCCTGGGTCTGGGTGTCTCTCCCTCAGGGGGTTCACAATGGCCGTGTCAGAGACACTGAGAGTCTGGGTTAGAGCCCTGGGTCTGGGTGTCTCTCCCTCAGGGGGTTCACGATGGCCGTGTCAGAGACACTGAGAGTCTGGGTTGGAGCCCTGGGTCTGGGTGTTTCTCCCTCAGGGGGTTCACAGTGGCCGTGTCAGAGACACTGAGAGTCTGGGTTGGAGCCCTGGGTCTGGGTGTCTCTCCCTCAGGGGGTTCACAATGGCCGTGTCAGAGACACTGAGAGTCTGGGTTGGAGCCCTGGGTCTGGGTGTGTCTCTCCCTCAGGGGGTTCACAATGGCCGTGTCAGAGACACTGAGAGTCTGGGTTCAATCCCTGGGTCTGGGTGTCTCTCCCTCAGGGGGTTCACAATGGCCGTGTCAGAGACACTGAGAGTCTGGGTTGGAGCCCTGGGTCTGGGTGTCTCTCCCTCAGGGGGTTCACAATGGCCGTGTCAGAGACACTGAGAGTCTGGGTTGGAGCCCTGGGTCTGGGTGTCTCTCCCTCAGGGGGTTCACAATGGCCGTGTCAGAGACACTGAGAGTCTGGGTTGGAGCCCTGGGTCTGGGTGTCTCTCCCTCAGGGGGTTCACAATGGCCGTGTCAGAGACACTGAGAGTCTGGGTTCAATCCCTGGGTCTGGGTGTCTCTCCCTCAGGGGGTTCACAGTGGCCGTGTCAGAGACACTGAGAGTCTGGGTTGGAGCCCTGGGTCTGGGTGTCTCTCCCTCAGGGGGTTCACAATGGCCGTGTCAGAGACACTGAGAGTCTGGGTTGGAGCCCTGGGTCTGGGTGTCTCTCCCTCAGGGGGTTCACAATGGCCGTGTCAGAGACACTGAGAGTCTGGGTTCAATCCCTGGGTCTGGGTGTCTCTCCCTCAGGGGGTTCACAGTGGCCGTGTCAGAGACACTGAGAGTCTGGGTTGGAGCCCTGGGTCTGGGTGTCTCTCCCTCAGGGGGTTCACAATGGCCGTGTCAGAGACACTGAGAGTCTGGGTTGGAGCCCTGGGTCTGGGTGTCTCTCCCTCAGGGGGTTCACAATGGCCGTGTCAGAGACACTGAGAGTCTGGGTTGGAGCCCTGGGTCTGGGTGTCTCTCCCTCAGGGGGTTCACAATGGCCGTGTCAGAGACACTGAGAGTCTGGGTTGGAGCCCTGGGTCTGGGTGTCTCTCCCTCAGGGGGTTCACGATGGCCGTGTCAGAGACACTGAGAGTCTGGGTTGGAGCCCTGGGTCTGGGTGTCTCTCCCTCAGGGGGTTCACAGTGGCCGTGTCAGAGACACTGAGAGTCTGGGTTGGAGCCCTGGGTCTGGGTGTCTCTCCCTCAGGGGGTTCACAATGGCCGTGTCAGAGACACTGAGAGTCTGGGTTCAATCCCTGGGTCTGGGTGTCTCTCCCTCAGGGGGTTCACAGTGGCCGTGTCAGAGACACTGAGAGTCTGGGTTGGAGCCCTGGGTCTGGGTGTCTCTCCCTCAGGGGGTTCACAATGGCCGTGTCAGAGACACTGAGAGTCTGGGTTGGAGCCCTGGGTCTGGGTGTCTCTCCCTCAGGGGGTTCACAATGGCCGTGTCAGAGACACTGAGAGTCTGGGTTCAATCCCTGGGTCTGGGTGTCTCTCCCTCAGTGGGTTCACAGTGCCGTGTCAGAGACACTGAGAGTCTGGGTTGGAGCCCTGGGTCTGGGTGTCTCTCCCTCAGGGGGTTCACAATGGCCGTGTCAGAGACACTGAGAGTCTGGGTTGGAGCCCTGGGTCTGGGTGTCTCTCCCTCAGGGGGTTCACAATGGCCGTGTCAGAGACACTGAGAGTCTGGGTTGGAGCCCTGGGTCTGGGTGTCTCTCCCTCAGGGGGTTCACAATGGCCGTGTCAGAGACACTGAGAGTCTGGGTTGGAGCCCTGGGTCTGGGTGTCTCTCCCTCAGGGGGTTCACGAT